GAAAATACAAATCAAGACTACAATGAGATATCACTTCACACCTCCTAGAATGGCTTTGAAACAAACAAAAAAACCTCAAAAATATAAAAGTAAGTGTGGGCCAGGATTTGGAAAATTGTAACCCTCATACATTGCTGATGGAAATATAAAGTGCTACAGCCACTTGGAAAACAGACTTGCAGTTCCTCAAATGATTAACTGTAGAGTTACCACATGACCCAGCAATTTTACCTCAGTATATGCCACAAAGAAATGAAAAATGATGTTCCCTCCTTATTCACAAATGTCCATAGCAGCATTCTTCATAATAGCCAAACAGTGGAAACCACCTAAAAGTCCATTGACTAATATTTAAACAAAATCTGGGATATCTATACAATGGAATAAAATTTGTCCATGAAAAAAAAATCAAGTACTGATATTATAAATGCTACAACCTTGAAAATTTGCTGGGTGAAAAGAAGGCAGTCACTTAAAAAAACGGGGAGGGAAAAAGGCAGTCACAAAAGGCCATATATTATTTCACTTGCATAAAACGTTCAGAATATGCAAATCCATATAGACAGAAAATAAATTAGTAGTTTCCTACTACAGTTAGGGGAGGAAAAATGTGAGTACTAATGGATTCAGGATTTCTTTTTGGAATGATGAAAGTCTTCTGAAATTGCATAGTAGTGATTAGTACACAAATTGTGACTATACTAAAAACCACAAAATCATATGCTTCAAAAGGATTAATTTTATAAAATGGAATCATGTAACAAAAATGTTCTTTCAAAAATCTTTACACAAATACATATGCCCATGAGAAGTCTACAGTAGTGTCTTTTTATTTTGTGGATAAATATAATGCTTCATTTTCTTTTTTAAAACCTGTCATTAATATCACTTCAAAGAAGTTGCCCTTTGCTTTTTCTATTTTTGGATTTGCTGAATAATTCCACATTCATCAAAGTCCCCACTTACTCTGACTATTACTTTCACAGTAACACACCCTCATTTAAATGTATATTAAAAAGTTAGCCTAGTGCCAAAACCGGTTTGGCTCAGTGGATAGAGCATTAGCCTGCGGACTGAAAGGTCCCAGGTTTGATTCTGGTCAAGGGCATGTACCTTGGTTGCGGGCACATACCCAGTAGGGGATGTGGGGATGTGCAGGAGGCAGTTGATCAATGTTTCTCTCGATGTTTCTAATTCTCTATCCCTCTCTCCCTTCCTCTCTGTAAAAAATCAATTAAAAAAAAAAAAGTTAGCCTAGTATTTTGTTTTATTTTTGCTTTTCCCTCATGGGACAATGATTAGAATCTGGTGACATGTCACAGGAGGTTTTGTGAAAGGGTCAGTGATAAAGGTTTCCCTGCCCTTGATTCTGTGGTCAGGAACTGGGATGAAGGTGTGGGGTCAAGGTCTTCCTGTCTCTGTGAAGCAATCCTTGGGTACAAAGTAATGCAATCACTCCCTGTGCTTTTGCCAGTCACAGTAAGAAAAATAAAACTGAAAATAGTATTTGGATGTGATGCTTGAAATAAAAATAATAATAGAAACTAACAATGAACTCAATTTTAGTTACAGGAGAACCTCAATATTTCCATAGGCATTAAAGAAGGGACAGTGAGGATGCCCTAGGGGAGGACGAGGGTGGGAAGAATAACATTCAGGGGCAAATTGGGATTACAACTAGTAAGCAGTTTCATACATTATTTTACACTAAAATGAGCATGCATGATTATTTTATATAACGATGCCAATTTTATAAGGCATGAGATTTCAAAAACCTTTCTAGGTATATTAGGCCATTGTGGCCTATGTCCTAGGTTCTCCTTTTATTATTATTTACTTGGGTAACATAGGCTAACAGGGGCATATAGGTTTCAAGTGTACATTTCTGTGATACATTGCATTGTGTAGCCACCACTGAAAGTCAAATCATCTTTCCTCACTGTATATTTATTCCTCTTTATCCTTTACTACCCTCCACCCCCTTCCCTCTGGAACCACCATGCTTTTTCTGTGTCTCTGAGATTTATGAAAAGAAATCATATGCTTCTTAGCTTTTTCTGACATTTCACTTAGCATAATATTCTCAAAGTCCATCCATGTTGTCACAAATGGCAGTATTTCATCTTATGGTTGAGTATTATCCATTTTGTGTGTGTATAACCTCTTTACCCATCTATGGACGGACACCTTGGCTGTCTCCATGTCTTGGCCACCAGGTTTAATGCTGCAGTGAATATAGGTGTATATATTGTATCTTTGAGTATAAATGTTCTTTAGTTTTTCAGGTAGATACCCAGAAGAGGGACTACTGGGTCATATAGGTAACTCTATTTTTTACGTTTTTGAGGACCCGCCAGTCTGTTTTCCAAAGTGGCTGTACCGATTTACATTCCCATCAGCAATGAATGAGGGTTCTTTTTAAAAAATATTTATTGATTGATTTTAGAGGGAGAGAAACATCGATTTGTTGTTTCATTTACTTATGCATTCATTCACTGATCTTTTTTTTTTTATATATATAAATATGTTTTATTGATATTTTTACAGAGAGGAAAGGAGAGGGATAGAGAGTTAGAAACATCAATGAGGATGAGAGAGAAACATCGATCAGCCATCTCCTGCACACCCTCCACTGGGGATATGCCCACAACCGAGGTACATGCCCTTGACCAGGATTGAACCTGGGACCCTCTAGTCCACAGGCCGACACTCTGTCCACTGAGCCAAACCAGTTAGGGCTCATTCACTGATTCTTATATAGGGATGCAATTAACAAAATCTCAAATGAGGAAAATTCTATAGAACTAATGACCTAGTTTCTTCAACAAATAAATCATACCAAAAAAAGGAGGGGGTGAGGGGACAGAGAGGGTGACCTACCCAGAAAGCATCAACCATATTCGATGTGTGCACCTATTTAGAATAAACCAACTAAAAAAATTATGAGCCCAAACTGAATCATTATTTGACCAAAGTGTGATGATAACAAGGAATTATTGTTTAGTAATACAAAAAAGTTATTATTTGAAAAGTTATTTGGTTTGAGATGCATACTAAAGTATTTATGGAAGAATTGACATGATGTTTGGGATTTGCTTTAAAATAAGTAGGGGAGAAAGAGAGGGTGGGGTCCAGATGAAACTATTTATTGGCTATGTATTAATTGTTGAAACTGTGTGGTGACTACATGGAGTTTTGTAATACTACTCTACCGGTGCTTAGAACTTATATTAAAAAAAACTACCAACCTATATCTAGAGGCTTGGTGCACAAATTCATGCACATTGAAAGGAAATTAATTAGAAAGAAATATTTTAGAGATTTTGGAGGGCTCCAGGTCGTCTCGCTCAGTCTCGATTGGGCAAACCCCACCAGCAAACCTACCCACCCATTGGAGTATCTGCCCCCTGATGGTCAGTGTGTGTCATAGCGACTGCTTGAGCAGTCAACTGAACAGTCAGACATTTAGCATATTAAGCTTTTATATACATAGATACAGTTTTATATATTTACCAGAGACCTGGTGCACAGCCCGGTGCAGTCCTGGCCTGAGGGGATCTGGCCAAAACTGGCATTGTGACATTCCCTGAGGGATGTAGCAGTGCTGAAGCGGTAGGCGGCTGGGGAGGAACCCAAACTGGGGGTGGGTGCCGCACCACTCCTGCTCACCCCCCCACTGCATCTGCTGGTTGGTAGCACTGCCTTGGAGACAGGAGAAGCTCCCACCACCACAGCTGCACTCACCAACCATGTTCCCGGCTTCTGGCTGAGCAGCGCTCCTGCTGTGGGAGTGCACTGACCATCAGGGGGCAGCTCCTGTATTGTCTGCCCCCTGGTGGTCAGTGCGTGTCATAGCAACCGGTCGTTCTGCCATCCAAAACCTGCTCTCTGACATCCCCTAAGGGCCCCGGATTACATGAGGGCACATGCCAGGCCAAGGGACCCCACCGGTGCACGATTGGGTCCAGGGAGGGACACGAGAGGTTAGCCAGCCAGAGAGGGGCCATGGGAAGGCACCAGGGCATGTCCAGTCCATCTCACACAGTCCCGATCAGCCGGACCCGAGCAGCAAGCTAACCTACCAGTCAGAGCGTCTGTCGCCTGGTGGTCAGTGCACGTCATAGCAAGTGGTTGGGGATTTTAAAGCAAATCCCAAACATCATGTCAATTCTTCCATAAATACTTTAGTATGCATCTCAAACCAAATAACTTTTCAAACAATAACTTTTTTGTATTACTAAACAATAATTCCTTAGTATATCATCAGCATATTATGCTTTGATTGGTTAAATGGCCAACTGAATGACCAGACACATAGCATACTAGGCTTTTATTATATAGGATGGTTGTGTGTATAGTTTTAAAATTACACATAACTCATGACTATAGTCAAAGTTGATTTTTAAAAATTGATTTCAGAGAGAGAGGAAGGAAGAGGGAGAGAGAGACATGAGAAATATCCATTGATTGCCTCCCACATGGGGATTAAACCTGCCAGTTTTTGGTGTATGGATGACACTCCAATCAACTGAGCCATACAGGCCAGGGCTAAAGTTGATTTTTAATTGGAGAAATGTGTCTTGGAAGAAACAGGCTTTATAGAGCCCCATTGACATTGCAGCTTCCTACCCAGAGTTGGCCACAATAATATTGGCAACTTGGTGTCTTGGTTTATCATGTCTGTGAGGTTGCTAATCTCTACCTAAACAGCCAGGTGACATAATACGTAATATTTCCACCAGAACCTTCATTGTTATGAAAAGTGAGTAGTACTTTTATAAAACTTACAGCTGATAAAATGTTTGTTGTAAATTGCTAATTTTCTAATCAGCAACACATGTATATTTTAAAATGATACCAAGCATAGTATCCCTATACATAGCTTATATATAGAGCAGTATATTCATTTTCTCAATGAGTTAACTTTGTTAAATGAAATATATACTTGGCAGGCATTTCTTATTTGGAGACAACATCCAACATTTTTCTCTCTTTTCTAGGAAATTGTTTTAGGTTATGTGAAAGAGATGCTTCCTCATCTGTAAGGCTCACCAGAAACTCTGATTGGAAGAGAATAAGTGGATTTTGCACCAAACCCCAGGAAAGTCCAAAGCCTCCATCCCGTAAGTTTTCGTTACTTTTCCAGTATGGACAAGGCAGCTCCCAAAGAGGAGGGCAATTTGGAATTAAAAAAAAACGTAAAGAGGGTGGTCACTGCATTATACCCTGGCATGTAGTTCAGGCCTCCAAATTGTACTGACATTGGCTGTGCTCACAGTAGCAATTACTTCTTCATTTTCCTCATTTGTCATGTTTATTTCTTGCCCCAAAGATTGGATTGTCACTTTTTGTAGGAGAATAGATGCACCGAAGTAAATAGTAGTCTGGAAATTAAAATTATCTTTTAAGGAACCCCAAAGGTGAACCAAATCAAGAAATGATGTTTTGGGTAAAATACAACCTGGGCTAAGGTCTGGCTTAGGCTTTAATTTCTGCCAGGTTTTGTCCTATCCCTAACTCACACCCTTCTCTCTCACCACCATAGGAAGAAGGAGCATAATTTACAAACTATAAGGTCCTAAGAACAATTTGCTTGTTGCTTCTTCATGGGAGTATTCTAGGGCCAGACAGGTCTTGGTGAGTGGAAAGGAATCATACTCAAAATATATTTATCAAGAGCTTAAAATGTTTATACCCTTCAACCTGGTGTTTCACTTCTGGGCATGTATCCTAAGGAATAATCTCTACATATGAGAAAAGCTTTGAGTATAAAGATGTTTCTAGTTTTTATAGATAATAGGAAAATGAGAAATCTAAATGTCAAATACTCTATGAATGATTAATTATGTATGTCAGATCTAATTGATGAGATTATGCAGATGTTGGAAATGTTGCTTTTAAATACCATGTACAAGCATGGGGAATGTTATAATGCTAACTAGATGCCCAGTGCACGAAATTCGCGCACGGAGGGGGCAGGTGTCCCTCAGCCCAGCCTGCACCCTCTCCAATCTGGGACCCCTCAATGGATGTCTGACTGTCCGTTTAGGCCAATCCTGCCTAAACGGACAGTCGGACATCCCTCTCACGATCCAGGATTGCTGGCTCCCAACTGCTCGCCTGCCTGCCTTCCTGATTGCCCCTAACCACTTCTGCCTACCAGCCTGATCACCCCCATACACTCTGCTGCCAGCCTGATTGATGCCTAATTGCTCCCCTGCCAGCCTGTTTGCCATTAATTGCCCTCCCCTTCAGGCTTGGTCCCTCCCCCAACTGCTCTCCCCTGCAGGCCTGTGTCCCCCCCAACTGCCCTTCCCTGCAGGCCTGGTCACCCCCAACTTCCCTCCTTTGCCAGCCTGGTCACTCCTAACTGCCCTCCCCTGCAGGCTTGATTGCCCTCCCTTGCAGGCCTGGTCCTTCCCAACTGCCCTCCCCTGCTGGCCATCTTGTGGTGGCCATCTTGTGTCCACATGGGGGCAGGATCTTTGACCACATGGGGGCAGCCATCTTATGCATTGAGTGATGGTCAATCTGCATATTGCTCTTTTATTAGATAGGATGAACAAGGCAGGATTAAAAAATTTACATTTGTGTATCAATGTAAAATTAGCATGATACAGACAGCATTACACACACACACACACACACACACACACACACACACACACATATATATATATATATATATATATATATATATATATATATATATATACACTTATGGGGATAGCCTTAGGAAACACACCAAAACAAAAATATAGGGATTATGCTATGACAAGAAAATGAGGGGTGATTTTTATCTTTTTCTTTTTTTCACTCCTATGCTTTTTTTTTTTCTCCACATCTATACTTTCTGAATTGTCTTTAATGGATGTATAGTGTTTAAAATGAGAAGGAAAAAATGTGGGGGGTGTTTCTCTCTTTCCCGTGTCCATCTCCATCACAGAAAAGGAAACAATCAGGTTCCTGAGTGGAGGAGCTGGGGATTAAGAAATTAAAGAAAGAAAGAGACCAAGAGGCAGAAATAGATCTATAAAGCAGGGCACTAGGTGGGTGCCCTTCTCTCTGATAGAGAGGCAGTGGGCACTGATCCACACAGCAGGTTTTATATCCCAAAATACCAGAAAGTTACACCAAAACTTAGGATCAAAGGAACTTATCTGCATTCTTAACTAGGTCCTAGCATTACTGAATTTACATATCTGGACCCGCCCCTGCTGACACCTGGACAAAGGTAAATCAGAAACTGAATAACACCCCAGGCCTTCTTCGGGGAGGGGTGTAACTGGGGATACAGAGTCTGCCAGTGCCTCGGGCTCAGCTGACAATTTAAAGAAATGTCCATGTGCCTTCCGAGGGGGCTCTCTACAATTACTATAGTGACAGTTGTGCCAAATCCTGGACGTTTTAGATTAAACTACAGCAGCACTATTTCTATACTTCTAAATCTCTTTTCTTGCCTTTGGTTCTTTGGATATTTCCCCTATTAACTTTCCTGTTCTTTTGCTGTTGCCTTCTGATGAAGTGAAAGGGGACAGCATAAACAAAGGTATGGAGGTGGGAGTGAGTGTGACCAGGAGGTCTGTCTGCAGTAGAGTGGTAGGCAGTGTGTGGCATTTGGATGAGATTATCTCCAAGATCCCTTCTAACCTGGACGTTCTGTCATTCACTAACGTTTTCTGCTCCTTATCTTCAGTGACTTTCCCTTCTTAAAAAGTCTTTTTCCTACAATCTGTGGTTTTGTACCCTTTTTACTCAACTGCCTCTTTGGCCACTCCATTTTCTCCTGTCCCTTTCTTGGGTCTTGCCTGAGGTTCAGCCCTTGACCTCTTCTCATCGTTAACACCCTTGCTGACGGTTATCTCTACTCCGGAATAATTCATGAAACCTACACAAGTGGCAAAAATTCAGACCCAACAGATCTAAAATGGCACAAATGGCATTTTTTTATTTCTAAATCTGAGTATTAATCTCACATAAGCATGCATCTCATCTTGTTTTTCTCATAGAGACTTACAGCCACAGAGTGCCATTACACAAACCTACGGATTGGGAGAGGAAGATCCTGATATGGGCAGGTCGCTTCAAGAAGGAAGATGAAATCCCAGAGACTATCTCGTGAGTGCTGATGCTAGGGTTGTAAGCAACTTTGTTTCTCACTGATCTGTTTTAAAGGAAAAGCAGTTCCTTTGAGTCTATTTAAAAGCTATCAACCCAATTTTAAAAGTTTTCACTTCTTGCCTTGGTGGTATTGCTCAGTGGCTAGAGCACCAAAGGAGTCTCAGGTTCGATTCCCCGTCAAGGGCACATATCTGCGTTGCAGGTTTGATCCCTAGCCCCAGTCAGGACCTGTGTAGGAGGCAACAGTGGATCAGTCTCTCTCACTCTCTCTCAGGACCTGTGTAGGAGGCAACAGTGGATCAATCTCGCGCGCTCTCTCTCTCTCTGTCTCTCTCTCTCTCTGTTCCCTTCACTCCCTCCTTTCTACTCTAAAAAAGCATTGGGAAAAATACCCTCAGATGAGCACTTCTCTAAATGTTTCCTCTTTATCAAGTACCTGGGATAAAAACAGCTAGGATATCTCTCTTACCATTGATATGTCACATAGAGACTAGTGAAGAGCATACTCTGAAGTCAACTTTGTTGATTTTTTTCTCCTAGGTACAGCGACCAAACAGTGATGTTCACTCTTTTTAGGTTGTTTTAATCTAGGTGTACGAGTTAGGTACCAGTGACAATAAGTATATTCTATACAATTCACTCAAGTCTTCAGACATAGGCATAAAAGTATTTAAAAGCAATGTATTCTTTCTCTGGGATCCAGGAAAGAGTGCCTTCTGCCGCCATCTTTGGGATTTTGGGACTTTTTCATAGTCTGTAGATGGATGGGTACAGATTCCTCTAACCCATGGTTTCTCAACCTCAGCACCGCTGACATTTCTTGTGTATTGTAGGATATTTAAGCAGCATCCATGTCCTCTTCACCTCGTATATGTCAGTAGCACTCATTAATGACAATCAAAAATGTCTCCAGCACAACCAGTATGGCTCAGTGGTTGAACGTCAACTGATGACCCAGGAGATCAAGGTTGGATTCCTGGTCAGGGCACATGCCCAGGTTGTAGGCTTGATGTCCAGTGGAGGTCATGTAGGAGGTAGCTGATTCTCTCTCATCATTGATGTTTCTATCTCTTCCTCTCCCTTCTTCTCTGAAATAAATATAAATAAATAAATAAAAATGTCTATATGTATTGCCAATGTCCCATGGGGGCAAAATCACCCCCAGTTGAAAACCATTACTTCACTGATTGGTGGCACCTTGATAACAGAGATTCTGAGAAATAGATGCCATCTCCCCCATGGGGCATCATACTCTTCAGAGAGATGGACTTGGGACAAAGCTCCTAGACAGTCCCTTCTAGCAAAAAAAACTATTCCTGCACCTTCTGGTCTCTGGTTTCAAATTATGATTGTAAAAGATCTGGGTTTATTTAGGGTATATTTTTCCAGGAAGATAAGTAGTATTTGCCTTCTCTTTACAACAGCTTAAAAAAGAGCCCTTCTGCTTCTGCATATCAAACTAAACAGCACATTCTTTTCAACAGGAGAACATTACTTCAGCAGGAAATCCCTGGTCCTTCTTTGCTCAAGTGACAATGTGCTTTCCTGGGAAATATCAATGACATTAGTTTCTTGCTTTTCCCAATTTCTTCCTAAAAATCCCAGCAGAAAACAAGCTGGTATATGCCCATGGTCCTAATAGGTGCTATGTGGATTTTGCTAGGGAACACCTTCTTTTGTTCCCTTGTTGGTCCCTGGCCCTCAGATCCCCTGAAGCCCCAAGTATAATAATACCTAGTGAGTCACTCTAGAAGGCCTTTCTCAGAGCCCAGACAACCATTTATCCTTGTGCTCTTAGTTCTCAACAGGCACTGCTTAACTTGCCCATTGGGATTGGTCCCTATAGAATGGAGGGTAATATCACAGCATTATTTATGTGCATTTTACTTTTTAAATGTTTCCTCAAATGTAAACTATATCACTTTTCATGAGAATCACAGCACATCAGTTGGAAATACCAATTTACATAAAATAATGTTAACATGGGTGGTTGGTTGGATCTTAGATGCTTTTTTTTAAAAATTGATTTAGGTATTTACATATATGTCCTTATCTCCCCCATTGCCCCACACCCAATCATGCCCTCACCCCTCTGGTGTCTGTTTCATTGGTTATGCTTATATGCATGCATACAAGTCCTTTGGTTGATCTCTCTCCCTTACCCCCCCTCTCCCCTACCTTCCCTCTGAGGTTTGAGCATCTGATTGATGCTTCTCTGTCTCTGGATCTGTTTTTGTTCAGCAGTTTATGTTGTTCATTATATTACACAAATGAGTGAGATCATATGATATTTATCTTTCTCTGACTGACTTATTTCGCTTAGCATAATGCTCTCCACTTCCATCCATGCTGTTGCAAACGGTAGGACTTCCTTCTTAGATGCCCTTAATAAAGCAAGTCAGTGTCCGTAGCAGTTGTCCCTGGCTTCTCCCACCTGCAGGTCCAGCTTCAATGCCTGGAGACTCCATCACCACCTCACTGGGTCCCAGTGTATATGCTTTCAGGGAACTCCTTCCAAGCATTTTTTGTTGTTAGTCCTTACCCAAGGATATTTTTTCTATTGATTTTTAGGGAGAGTAGAAGGGAGGGAGAGGGAGAGAAAGAACTATCGATGTAAGAGACACATATCAATTTGCCTACCACATGTGCCCCAACTGTGGCTGGGAATGAACCAGCAACCCAGATACATGCCTTGACCAGGAATCAAGCCCATCACCCTTCGGTGCATGAGTCAACATTCTACCACTGAGTCATACTAGCAAGGGCCCAAGCATTTTTTTAAAAGACCTTTTTTATTGATCTTTAGAGAGAGAGGAAGGGAGAGGGAGACAGAGGAAAGAAGAGGGAGAGAAGCATCGATAGGAGAAACATTGACTGCTTTCTGCACACCCCCATTAGGCATGTGTCCTTACCAGAAATTTAATTGGCAACCTCTTAGTTCATAGGTTGATACTCAACCACTGAGCCACAACTGGCAGGCAGACCAAAGCATTTTTACTTTGTACTTTGATTTCAAATGTAATTTGTGTTTAAAACACGAGAAGGAAAAACAAAACAAAACATTAGTGTGTGTGGGGGGGGAGGAATTAGCATTCCAATCCCATCAGCTAGAGATAATAATCACTTAACTATTTATACCCTACTGTGTAGCCGGTTCTTTATTCTGGGACCACTATAGAACTCCACATGCCCTACCCTGAAGCTCTACCAGACATTCACGGTAATAGAGCTTCAACCGACTGCCCACCTGCAGAATCACCAAGGTGAAAGGGCCTTTTCTTCACACTCTCTTGTTTGGTCTCAGCTTTCACATAACCATAATCTAACTCTCAACTTTCTGTTAAGGCACTCAGATCTGTATTCAGTGGACAGGTAAGAAGAGGCACTTGAGAAAGAACTAAAGCTCACTGTCACTCAATTTAAGTAAAACATTAGTTAAAAGATAAACAGGGCTCAGCCAATGTTGCTCAGTGGTTGAGTATCAACCCATGAACCAGGAGGTCAGGGTTCCATTCCCGGTCAAGGCACATTGGGGTTTCCAGGCCCGATCCACAGTCGGGGGCGTGCAGAAGGCAGCCAATCACTGATTCTCTCTCATCATTGATGTTTCCATCTCTCCTCCCTTCCTTTCTCTGAAATCAATAAAAAGATATATTTTTAAAATATATATAAAGAGGGTATTGCTTAAAGGGTCTTTCTGCTGATCTAGATATTCTGAAATGTTCCTAGTTCAAAGCAGAGAACAGAAATCTGGGTGTAAAAAGCACATTAGTTTAACTCCTGTGTTTGTTTTCTTCTTAATTGTGTTTTGTGTTGAAACTTAAGAGATTCATTATAGTATCTGTCAGGATGTTCAGCTAATCATTATATCATATAATATCCTCTTGAGAACCTCAAGGAGAAACAGCTACTGATTTCAATTTTAGCACTGACTAATAATGTGAAACTTTTGAGACCCAAAATCAGGGCCCACCATAGCAAGCATAGATTCATATGCCTCGCCTTTTTTGTTCCTGACTTCACTTCCTATCTTTACACTTCTCCTTTTCTACTTTAAATTTGTGCTGTCTCACTGTAATTTATATATAAAGTGAGTTGTGAAAATGCTCCAACCTCCCTAAAGTCCTATAAGATTTCCAGGCCCTATCTCCTTTTTCATATTTATAGACTCCACTGAACTTCTGATTTGTGGTATACAAAGCTTTATACCCTGCTGGCAACTTCAGAAAGTTAACTTTCTCTCTTGTTAACTTAATCTCATTGTATTACTAGGTTTGAGATGCTTGATGCTGCGAAGAACAAGCTCCGGGTGAAGATCAGCTATGTAATGATTGCTCTGACAGTGGCAGGATGCATCTTAATGGTTATTGAAGGCAAGCAGGTGAGAGAGGACTTCCTATCTCTGTTTTCCACAAAGGGCCTGTAGGAAATCAGGGATTGACTCCCATATTTATTCTTTTGAGGAAAAGAGGCTGCTTTTACACAAGAAATGATAAGAAAAGAAACAAAGACATAGTAGGGCCAAACCTAAGATCATACCTGGGGATAAATAGCAAATCCTAACTTTGGCAAGGGGAAGGACTAAGTTAGTTTTCTGTAAAGTAAAAAGTATTAATCAATCCCCAGATGTCATAAATAATGTAAAACAAGAAATGTGACACTGGCAGATTTAATGATAGCTCCGTGCATGTCTATAAAGCACTCTTAGTACCTGGGTTTATTTATCCTCCTTCTAACTGCCTTAATCCTGGTGAGCAGTCTTACCACAGTTCTCTACTTCAAGCTCAGCCAAGCTGGTCATATATCTGAAGACCATAGATCTTAAGCAGTACATAGGAAGTCAAGCCCATAAATTTTTGTTTTAACATAGATAATTATTAATACCAATCACTAATTGAATACTTTGCTATTGTCTCATTTGAACCTCACAACCCTGCGAGATCAGTACTATTATTAGGACCGCATTTCCAGCTGAAAAAACATAGATTAGGAAGGTCATGCATCTCCTTAATGGTAAAACCACAGTTTGAACCTAGACATAATTGAGGTGATATTAAAATTGCTCCCACTTATTGAGTGCTTATTATAAAACAGGCATTGTTAAACTCATTTATTTACACAGCAACCCTAAAAGGTAGGTTCTATTGTTATCTGTGTTTTATGAAAGAGCATGAAGCTTAAAAGGTGTTAAATAATTTTTCAAAGTCACATAGCTAATCTACACTAATAAAAGAGAAAGATGCAAATTGACTATACCTTCGCAATGCCCACCAGCCAATCAGGATTGTGTATGCAAATTAACTCAACAAATATGGTGTGTTAATTTGCATACACAGGCCCCAGCAGCCGGGGGCTCTCAGACTCTGAGAGGGGGCAGGCCAGACTGAGGGACACCCCACCCACCCCAGTGAACAAACTTTCATGCACCTGGCCTCTAGTAAATTATTAGAGACAAAAAGATTTAAAAAATGAGGCCAGAAAGGAAGATAAGTGCTTGAATGGATGGACTGATGGACTGTGAAGCAGTAGAGGAAGCAGAAGTCACATGGAAAGGACTGCTGTGCGCAGTGTACACGCACCAGACTGTTCCATTCTTGTACTGCTGTTGCTAACCTGTTGCTATCAGTAACATCATTCACAAATGGGCATAAATAATTTCTTGTTCAAATTTGTTTCATTTTAGGCTGTCAAAAGACACGAGTCTTTAACAAGCCTGAACTTAGAAAAGAAAGCTCGTCTGAGAGAGGAAGCAGCTATGAAGGCCAAAACAGAGTAACAGAGGTACTCACGTTGGCTGGATTTTGAAAATCCAAGAATAAAGTGTCAGCAACAAGCTTGTCTTAAACAAATGTGGTATGAGGATCCATTTCATAAAAGTTATGGTTTGTACAAACATGCCATTTCCCTATTTCTGCTATAGAGGTACAAATAAATTTTCTTAAATGACTTGTCTAATTTCATGGATTTGATCCAGGTTAAATGCATCCTCTCAACTTTTTTGGTTAAATGAAAGAAATGAGACAACTTATTTTGACTTACATATTAACTCTTTAGAGTCAGGTTCTATATCTTACTTTACTTCCCATTACCAAAGTGACCTCTCCTCCAAAGCCAAAATGGCTTTTTTTCTGTATTTCTCTCTCATTTGTATTCCTTTCTGGAGAGAGAAGGAAGGCCAGCTGAGTACATTGCCCAAGTGCATCTTAGAGAGCCAACCTCCTCACGTGCCGTGGTTCTTCTCAAAGCCCTGGGAAGCAGACAGACTGTACTTTGCCATTCTGGGGTGTGCTGGCAGAGGCTTTAGCAGCACAGTCCTTGAAAATGTCCTAGCAAGGTGATGATAATGATCTTGCCACAAGTTTCTGAGGACTTTGAAATCCCAGCATCATTGAATTGTTTGGGACCAGCAGTCACCTCTTCTGCCCCATGGCTTAGAATTCCTAAGTGGTCCTTGTCCTGCTGCCTTTACAATTATGAAAGTCTGTCAAATGCATTTTCTTTTTTTAAAAATATATTTTATTGATTTTTTACAAAGGAAGGGAGAGGGAGAGTTACAAACATCAGTGAGAGAGAGATATTTATCAGCTGCCTCCTGCACACCCCCTACTGGGGACGTGCCTGCAACCAAGGTACATGGCCTTGACCGGAATCGAACCTGGGACCCTTCAGTCCAAACGCCAATGCTCTATCCACTGAGCCAAACCGGTTATGGCACAAATGCATTTTCTTACTAGGTTGCATTTGCACCTGGTATATATCTCACTTTGACTGGGATGCTAAGCTCTCTCATATTTAGGTATAGATGATGGTTCTATTTTAAATAGTCATTTATTCTCTCACAAATAATAGTGGATGACAAGTCCTCACAGCCATCTCAGTCTGTTTGGTCTCATAAGAGGTTTATAGCAGATTAAAATGCAGCTGTTCGGGAACTTGGCTTAATAAAATGTAATACATCAGTTTACCTAGAGCTTTGTAACTATCTGATGTTAATGATGTTTGTCTATAAATTTTATTTAGAGTAATTTGACCATAACTTCTTTTTAGATACCAAATTCTTTTATTTTTATCACTTGGAAATTTACTATCAAAAAGCACTTTTTCTTACACATTTTAGATTAGTTATTTTGGAACATTTATGTTACATCTTACCTAAACCAATATTCTAAATATGGGTAAATTTTAATGTATTTCATTTAAAAATAAATAATCTTTCTTCATAGAACAATACCATTTTTAATTTCTAAAATAGCATTTTAAAGTGTATCTTGGAGAGTTATTGTAATAAAAAATGTTTCTTTAAACCAAAGCTCACATATGCAACCAGAATACACACAATCTTTTCTCATTTTGTGTCATTTTTCTGTTCAGAAACTTATAGTGACTACCTCTTTATGGATTAAATACAAATTTCTTGGCCTGAATTTCAGACCTGCCCCTATCTAATCTCACTTCTCCCAGTACCCTCACATACTAACCTCTCAGCAGTCATACCCTACTAGTAACTTTTAATATCTTATGTTCTTCAGAACTTGGTCAAACAATTCAGATTTAATGAGCACTAGTATAAAATATTGTACAACACAAAAAAAGACAATTTTGCTCTTCATACTTTCAATTAAATTACTGTTGTACTATCTTTTGCTTAATTTCTAGATTTTTTTTTCATGTTTACCCTGCCTGTCTCTATAGGTAGTGAGCAGAAACCATTTTCCATTTTATATTTTATATAAGCCTTCTTTGTATAAAGTTAAAATGTGAGATTATACTCAGATAAAACAAAAATAATAGTATGGGGAATTGCTCCCAAAACGTTAGTGAAAACAGGTAAGGAATAAATTAAGTGCTGGTGATATAATTCATTGTCATTCATCCTACATTACTTGAGTCCCTTCTATATAAAAAAACTGAGAATGCAAAGATCAATAGTATAACATATCTGTCTCCACAGAACACATAATATACCAGTGGATAAAGCATTAGCCTTTGAATTGAAGGGTCCTGGGTTTAATTCCGGTCAAGGGCACATGCCTTAGTTGCTCAATCCCCAGTAGGGGGCGTGCAGGAGGCAGCTGATCAATAATTCTCTTATTGATATTTCTATCTCTCCTCCCTTTCTGAAATCAAATATATTTTTAAAAATAATAATAAAAATGCTTTCTTTAAAAAAAAAAAAAGAAAAAAGAAAAGAAAGAAAAAGAAATAGCAATAAAACCTAACTCAGCTGCCAACTATGGTTGGAGCCAGGCAGGCAGTGACGGCTCCACAAAGTACTGACTTCTGAACTAAGTTGGAAGCATGGATAGGAAGCAGTGAGTCAGTCACATAGTAAAAGAGCGGCCTCACCACTCCAACATTTAGCTTGTCTGAAAATGAGGAGGGCACAACCTGAAAAGCCATCTAGGGATCCTTCAGTAAAATGCCATTTATAATGTTTTAGACTCTCAGAACAAACCATGACTTATTTTTTCCAATAAAGTCTTGATTCCATAAACTACTTCATGTCCCATTTAGTAGGCTATCACTTAGTGTGAGTGGTGCTTGACACACATCTCCAGTCCAACACCATCGCAGGCTTATGCTCTTATTCATCTGATCTCCCAAACCCAAAACCTAGGAGTTATTCCAAACTCCTTTGCTCTCCTCATTTAATTAATCATTCTGTCTTGTGAATCTTCTAAATATTCCTCAAATATACCAATCCTTTAGAATAGTCTTTGAGAAGAATAGAATGGAAATCTATTCAAGGACAGACATAAGAGATTAATAACAAACTTCAAGATTAAAAGTCAGAAGCCCTGGATTCTAGACTTGCTTTTCCAACTGTCTTGCTTTGAAAATTTAGGTTATAATCTTTTATAATTCAAGACAATGTTAAGAAGAAATACAAAACCATGCCAAAATTAAGAGAAAACATCTTTTAAAATATACAACTTTTTGCCAACTTGGCTTTACTACTTGATTTCTAAAGGGTTTAGTAGTTACTTATCCACAGTTTAATTGTTTTGTCATTTCCTAATGCTGCTGATGCAATGATATTTTCTGTAGGATGACAAGCTACTGAGATTACAACATCAGTATGACCTTGTAATTTCTGTACAATCTCTTTAGTCTGAAGGTTCCAAATGTAAACTAGGTTATCCTCTGAACCAGACACAATCCACTTCCCTCCAGTAACTGAAAAATTGGCAAATATGCAGTATTTCTCATTTTTATGACCAGTGTATGTCTTCAGGCATCTGCCTCTGCTATAATCCCATAGTTTAAGAGTATTATCCAGAGTTGCAATGAGAATGTATTTACCATTTGGAGAAAATTTTACAAAAGAGACAGGAGGGTTATCATCATCAACAAGTGTTTTTAAACACTGACCTGATGCAGCATCCCAGATTCTACAGATGCCATCATAACTACCTGACGCTATCAAGGACCCGTTACAACTAAAATCAACAGCAGAAACCGGGTCAGAATGAGCAGACAAAGTCTTGAGGCACTTGCCTGTTTTCACCTCCCATATTTTCACACTCTCATCAAAAGATCCTGAAATTATGAGATTGGATGGTGGATTGAAATTACAGCAAAACACATAATTACTGTGCCCCTCCAGCGTTTTCAAGCATTTTCCTGATAGTACATCCCAAATCTTTAGAGTTTTATCATCTGAGGCAGAAACAAGACGACTGGAATCTGATGACCAGTCAACATCTGATATTTCCAGACTGTGACCATGAAGTATTTTCTCCTTTTTTCCATCATATGCTCCCCAAATTATAATTACTTTGTCAGCAGAAGAACTTGCTAGCCACTCTCCATCAGGACTAAACTTAACTGATGATACTGCTTCCACATGTCCCACAAGAGTGTATCTGAGAGTATAGTTTGGTTTTTCATACTCTTGTTTGCTCTGATCGGCTGATGAGGTGAGGGCTGACTCTGCTTTGGCATCTGATTCCTTTGTTGCCATGGCTTTGAAGCTCCAAGTCACTAGGTTGGCTCAGCGTCCGGTCCTGAACCAGGCAGCCGAGTATTTTGATTTTCTGCCCAGCAAAATGAAGATTAAAACATTAGATTATTAGACTTAAAAATAAACGGTCTCTAGTGATAATTTTTGGATCATCTTTATTTTTAAAAAAGTGTATTTTATTGATTTTTTTACAGAGAGGGAGAGGGGGAGAGAGTCAGAAACGTCGATGAGAGAGAAACATCGACCAGCTGCCTCTTGCACACCCCCCACCAGGGATGTGCCCGCAACCAAGGTATATGCCCTTGACCAGAATCGAACCTGGGACCCTTCAGTCCGCAGGCCGACCCTCTACCACTGAGCCAAACCACTTTCGGCTGGATCATCTTTAAATTGCCATATACACATGGCTTGGACCACTTATGTTTTTCCTCACTTCCTTCTGTAAACAAATACTTGAGAAATATGCCGAAACCGGTTTGGCTCAGTGGTAGAGCGTCGGTCTGTGGAGTGAAAGGTCCCGGGTTCGATTCTGGTCAAGGGCATGTACCTTGGTTGCGGGCACATCCCTGGTGGGGGGTAAGAGGCAGTTGGTCGATGTTTCTCTCGTCGTCGTTTCTAGCTCTTTATCTCTCTCCCTTCCTCTCTGTAAAAAATCAATAAAACATATTTTTTTAAAAATACTTGAGAAATATTATTTAAAAGTCCCATGTGCTGTCAGCAAGTAAGGTATTAATGTTGGGTACTCTGTGAACGTACACAGGCGTCCAAAGTCAAGTCGCGCGGGGCAGGGCAGGGCCTGGCGCAGGGAAATCTATAGAAACTATTTCTCACGGCCCCTCCCCCGAGTTGGACAGGTTTGAGAACACGGAGCAACCCTACCAGTCTGGCAGAGTTTAAGTACTTTAGCATGAACGCGTCAGCGCTTTAAGCAGAAGATTTCAGAAGCCAAGAGGAAACCTGCGTACGTAATCGCCGTTATTTGAGGCTCAGCCTGCCGACTGCATTCTGCAGATACAAACGGGTCCTCATCGCCGCGTCAATCGCAACAGCAGCCGACCGGACGCTGAGCGCATGCGCGGAGGGGAGGGAGCCATCTCCTACTTCCGAGTTCAGGTGACCAATGGGAGAAGCCCCCGTGCGCCTGCGCCAAAAAAAGAAAGGAAGGGGAGGGTTCTTCCGCTCTTCTTTGCCCCCGCCTTCGGCACGAAATACTCAAGGTCTTCTTAACCCAGGAGACAGGATCGATCCAGATTTGACCAGCTAGAGTGGGAAGCGGTGAACATGACAAGAAACATTTGTTTCTTTTTATAAACCGTGTCACAAGAAAGGACTGCATTTCCCGATGCCTTTAGCCGCAGGTGAAGCCCACAGCTGGGACGCGAGCTGCTCAGACAGTGCGCGTTTGGGAAATGTAGCTGAGGCTCCCGTACAGCAGGGCTGCAAGTAGGCCAGGGGGCGAGGCGACTTCTCGTTTGGTTTGGTTTGGTTTGGTTTGGATTTTGTTTGTTTGTTTGTTGGGGTTTTTGTGTGTGTGTGTGTGTGTGTGTGTGTGTGTGTGTGTGTGTGTGTGTGTGTTTTTAGCAGTTCGCCCTCTAGCTTATGCCCCAGGTCACCCGGAGCTGGTGTACTTGGTGTCAGCCTTGGTGCCCTCGGACACGGCGTGCTTGGCCAGCTCCCCAGGCAGCAGCAGGCGCACTGCCGGCTGGACTTCCCGGGTCCTCAGTGTGGTTCGGCCTGAGTACTGGGCCAGCCGCTCAAACACGTCAAACACTAGTGAGTGCATGGTGCTCATTGCCTTGGAAGAGATGCCGATGTCAGGGAGTACCTGCTTTAGCACCTTGTAGATACACATTGAGTAGGTTTCTTTGCGCCCGCTATGCCTTCTGGACTTCTTCCTGGAACTACGGCCCTTTCCACCTCCAGACTGCTGCTGCTGGTTTTAAAGTTTTTCCTTAAAGCTATGGCCTGATTGCTCAGTCAGAGCGTCATTCCTGTACACCAAGGTGACAGGTCGACCCAGGTCTGGGCATATAACAGGAATTAACCCCTGGCCTGTGTGTTTCAGTGGTTGAGCGTGGACCTATGAACTAGGAGTCATAGTTGGATTCCTGTCAGGGCGGGTTGTGGGCTCAATACCCAGTAAAGGGCGCTGGGGGGAGGGGTGGAGTCAATCAATGATTCTCTCTCATGGATGTTTCACCCTTCCTCTCTGAAGTCAATAAAAATATTTTTAAAAAATAATCAACCAATGTAAGTGGAACAACAAATTGATGTCTGACTCTTTCCTCCTCCCCATCCCTCTTTCTCTAAAATCAATAAAAAATAATGAAGTTTCCCCTAAATATTTAGAAAAGGATGAAAGAATTATGTTAGGGGCCTTTAAACGTCAGTGCTCAGAGAGCATGATCTGGTATTGCTGGGGTATATGAGCAAACATTTAAGCGCTTCCTTATACAGTAGTTTAAGCTTCCAAAGAAAATTAAGGGAAGTTCAGATCTGCATAGGTGCGTGAGACAGAAAAGGGACAAAGAAGTTAGTGGGATGGGGTAAGAAATGTGTATGGTTACTTATTAGACTTTAGAGTGTTTACCCCAGTTTTAAGAAATGAGCAATGGTCGTGAAAGTATTACCTGAACAATAGATGTGTTTTAGATGTAATTACACTCTTTAAACAAAAATAGGTTTTACAAAAAAAAAACAATCTGGTAAGTTCTCCAGTCCTTGAATTGTTAAATAATGAGTGCCTGAGGGAGTCAGCAAGTATTCTGTCTTAAGTGGTTTTCCCCATAGCCCAGAGGGCAAATATCCTTCATGTTTTCTATTGAGAATTAAAATATTTTATAATAAAACAAAGGCTTTCCAATCTTAGAAGGGACTAGAGGCCCAGTACACAACATTTGTGCATGGGTAGTGTCTCTAGCAGCTGCCAGCTGCCAGCCTCCCCCAACTGCCTGCTACTACCACCGGCCGGGGCCTGCCTTTGCACTGGTCTGGTGCCACCTGCTTACCTGCCCCACCATCCTGCCTTGGTCCCTCTCCTCTGGGGCCATCTGGCCTGCAGCACCTCCACTACCACAGCCGCCAGCGCCACATTGCCAACGCCAACCATGGTCTGTGCCGCCCCCTGATGGTCAGCACACATCTAACTTCCAGTCAGTAGAACTCCAGCCAATGGGACAATTTGCATATTAGCCTTTTATTATATAGGATTATATAGAATAATTGGTACAACAGCACAATTATATCATCTCATCACCTATAATAACCAACTATAGTAAAAACCTCATCACTTTAAGACCCTAATACTTTAGTTTAGAAATTATACAGGAATTGCACAAATGCTTTAGTCTTAGGTAGTCCAAGTCAATAAGATAAGCATCTTTTTCTTCTAGATAAACATCTTTAAAATGGTTTAGAACTTCCATTTATACACATTATGGTTCTTCTTAACTACCATGGACCTCCCTTCTGAAACATTTTTAAAAGACAACACGTTTTCACTGTAATGTATCTTAAAGTTCAATTCTGATTAAACTCTGCCTCCTCTCTCCTATCCTCCTCCCATTAGCCTAGATCAGTGTGATTGTTGCTGGGAAACTAGAGCTATTTTAAATTCTGCATTAATTGAAATTATTTCCATTGTAATTAATTCATTAAAAATAAATTTAAAAGTACTTCAGGAAACAAAGTGTAGGCTTTGTTCCAAAGAATTTAAGCAAATGTTTTTCCAATAATTGTTCTATGTGCTGGGAGAGTAAAGAAAGAGGAAATTAGACAAGGTAAACGCATGACATGAGGACTAGGTTGGGGTATTAGTGCTGGAGTATAGTTAGCCCACTAGAAATATGAGCATGAGGGAAAGGGGGCACATGAGAATGTGTTGATAGGAATATCCACCAAAAAAATTTTTACAGAACCTGACTAAAAAAAAAAAAAAAATTTCCAGTATTAAAATCCATTTCTTGATTTTAGATTTTTTTTATTTTTTTTTTGTCTACAAATAGCATCAGGAATTCATGTAAATGAAATTAAAGCTATGACTATATCATAGCAGCACAATTTACAATAGCTAAAATTTGGAAACAGCCTACGTGCCCATGAGCAGATGACTGGATCAGAAAACTATGGTACATCTAAACAATGGAATATTATACTGCCACAAAAAAGAAGGAATTCTTACAATTTGCAGCAACCTGGATGGAATTAGAGAACATTATGCTAAGTGAAATAAACCAGTCAATGAAAGAAAAATACCACATGATCTCATTTGTGGATAATAAAAACCATTATAAACTGATGAACAAAAAGATAGATACAGAGGCAGTAAAGCATCAAACAAATTGTCAAATTACAGCAGGAAGGTTAGGGAGAGGTGGAGGAGATAAGAGATCAATTGAAGGACTTGTATGTATGCATATAAGCATAACCAACGGATGCAAATCATTGGGGGGTGAGGGCATGTATGGGAGTGGGGTGGGGGGAGGCAACGGTAAGATATGTACACATATAATACCATAATTTAAAAAAAGGAAAAAGAAATAAAGCTATGACAATAACTAGTTAAACCATTATTCACTAATCCTGCTAATCCTAACATGTAGTTATAATATTGTCGTCCTTGTGAATTAAGACTAAGGATTTCAGCCGGGACCAGTTTAGCTCAGTGGATAGAGCGTCGGCCTGCGGACTGAAAGGTCCCGGGTTCAATTCCGGTCAAGGGCATGTACCTTGGTTGCGGGCACATCCCCGGTGGGGGGTGTGCAAGAGGCAGCTGATCGATGATTCTCTCTCATCGATGTTTCTAACTCTGTCCCTCTCAATTCCTCTCTGTGTAAAATCAATAAAATATATTAAAAAAAAAAAAAAGACTAAGGATTTCATAGTTTACTTCCTTGGGGGCACAGGAGCATCAGCAGAGTAAAATGAACAGGAACCTGCAATTTCTATATTTGCAGCCTTTAATTGCCACCAAATAAGTGATTTGGAAGTTTCCCTTCCTGTAGAAATAAAGTTGTTTTCTTTAAATTTCCCATGAAAAATTTAACATTTTTTATTTTTGTTAATACTCAGCCAAAGATATTTTCCCATTGGCTTTCAGAGAGTGAAGGGGGAGAGATGACAGAGAGAAACATTGATGTGAGAGAGACATATCGATCAGCTGCCTCCTTGACCAGGGATGGAACACACAACCTAGGCATGTGCCCTGACTGGGAACCAAACCGGTGACCTTTCAGTGCACAGGACTATGCTCAACCAACTGAGCCACAGCAGCCAGGACACTTAATTTACTGACTTCAGAAGGAGGAGGGAAAGAGAAACATCAATTTCTTGTTTCACTTATTTATACATTCGTTGGCTGATTCTAGAATTCTACCCAGGGATTAAATCCCCAACCTTAGCATATGGGGAAAACACCCGAACCAACTGAGCTACCAGGTCAGAGCATATGTTTTTGTTTTATTTATTTATTTATTTATTTAACTAGAGACCCGGTACACAAAATTTGTGCACTGGGCTTGGGGGAGGGGTCCCTCAGCCCAGCCTGCACCCTCTCCATTCTGGGATCCTTCTCACAATCCAGGACTGCTGGTTCCAACTGCTTGCTTGCTTGCCTGCCAGCCTGATCACCTCATAACCACTCCCCTGCCAGCCCGATCACCCCCAACTGCCCTCCCCTGCCAGTCATCTTGTGACCACATGTGGGCGGCCATCTTGTGCAAGGGCAGCCATCTTGTATATTACCTCTTTATTATATAGGGTAAATATATTTTTATTGATTTCAGAGGAAGAGGGAGAGATGGAAACATCCATGATGAGAATCAGTTTGTTGCTGCCTGCATGCCCCCTAATGGAGATCAAGCCCACAACCTGGGCATGTGCCCTTGACCAGAATTGAACCCAGGACCCTTCAGTATGCAGGCTGACGCTCTATCCACTGAGCCAAACCAGCTAAGGCTGTTTTTTTAAATATGTTTCTATTGCTTTTTTAGAGAAAGGAGAGAGAGAGAGATAGAAATATAGATGGACTGCCTCCTGCATGCCCCTTACTAGGGATTGAGCCTGTAACCCTGGCATGTGCTCTGACTGGGAATCAAACCAGTGACTTCTTGGTTACTGGGTTGGTGCTCAACTGTTGAGCGACACCAAACAGGCAGGTTTCTGAGGTTTTGGTTGTTTTAATTAAAAACATTTTTTTTAAATGTGTGTCAGACCTAAACATGGCCTGGGAATGATTTCCTATATTAAGGGTCGTCTTAACTGACTTGTTTTATGGTAATTCTGATTACCAAATTCAATACTCAAAAATCAAGCTGAGCCAAGACCAGTTTGGCTCAATGGATAGAGCGTCGGCTTGGGGACTGAAGGGTCCCGGGTTCGATTCCGGTCAAGGGCATGTACCTTGGTTGCAGGCATATCCCCAGTAGGGGGTGTGCAAGAGGCAGCTGATCGATGACTCTCTCTCATCAATGTTTCTAACTATCTCTCTCTCCCTTCCTCTCTGTACAAAATCAATAATAAAAATATATTAAAAAAAAAAGTGTGAACATTAAAAAAAAAATCTTAAAAAAAAAAAAATCAAGCTGAATAGGACTATGTACCTACTGTTGCTTTTGACCACCAGCAATTTAAACATATGAAAATCTACTTGGGTTTAAATATGGGCTGGCCATGTAACTTATCTAAACTGAGACTTTTTAAAATGAAAGGAGACACTAAAATAATTAACAGGTGTTAATTGATCTAAAAACCGGGACTGCCCCCAGAAAACCTGCCACTGCTGACTTCTCAAGAGTGCTCTCCTCATAATCATACTTTAATCTTGGAAAGTTCTGCCCTCTTCACATGGTATTTTACACCTGCCAAGATCTCTCTCGTTCTATTCTGTTCCCACCACTATGGTCTTCTGAGTTTTTATTTTCTCCCTCCCCATCACTCTAAATAATGCTGGGTCCAAGTGGTTTTGGTAGGGAAGTGAACCACATGTGGACACCCACCCGGTGGACTCCTCTGGCTTCCTCGGTGTTAAGTGGGAAAGAAAAAGGGATTTAAAGAGTAATTTTATTCTTTGCAAAAACATTCAACATCACAAAAATGACCACTTATTTTTTTTTTTTTTTTCTAAAACAAGGCTCTTTCAAAATTGCAAATGAAATAAGGGCAACCATCTAAGCTGATTACAATAAACTTGTAAACCCAACAATTTTGTACTATAGATGACAGGGTAGTCTGCAGGAGTTAAGGCTATATTTTGCTTTATGAATTTGTTTTGTTTTCAGAAAAAGAAAAACAAAACAACTGGCCAGTGGAGTCTCTCAAAAATAATAGAGAAACAATCATGGGATCAAGAAATATACCATTTTTCTGTTTCTACTGATCTGTCACTTAAATTGGAGGAATGGATAATGTTCTCATGCAGCAGTACATTTAATATGTAATAAAAAAATCCCTATTTACTAGTATAGGGCAACCATCAATTTCCACATCAATTGGATATAATTAGTCAAAAGTTTTAACCCTAGACCACATGTGTCAAACACAAGGCCCGCGGGCCAAATCCGTCCCACCAGGCCTTGCAATGTGGCCCGCACCGCGCTGTCATCACTGCACTCCGCTGCGTTTCCATCACAATGACAGTTTATGACTGTTCAGTAAACCATTCGGCCCGCGATTTAGGCTGGATTTTAGATTTTGGCCCCTTCTCTGATTGAGTTAGACACCCCTACCCTAGACTATGCCAGAAGAGACAGGTGAGCTATTTTTAGTATAAACACACGGGGTTGATTTTGTAATTAACTATCCTGTAAAATATACCCATTAACTTCTCTCAGAAGGCATAGGTTGTTTTTATATAACAAACCTGTGATACAACATTTACTTTTGTAAACTTCAGATCAAATTGTCTCCTGAAAGTGCATTTATACTACGTATAAAATACATTTTAAGACAATAGCTTTACGAGTTAATAATCTTGATTTCAAACAGCATAAATGAATTCCTTTGAACTTTTTGGTAACCAAATGCCCTTTACTAATACCATATTGATGCATATTCCTTAAATCACTTAGTGTTTATTAAAGTCTACTAAGTGCAAGGCGCTCACCCATGGCCTGACATACAATATTCAAGTACAAAGAATCATTAGAACCATTCCAAAGAGTAAGAACACTTTGAAAAAGGACCTAAGAGTGGTCAAAATGACGAGGTAAGCAGAACGTAACAACATACATTAAAAAGTGATCTTTTTTACAGTCCTTGGGAGGATACTCCCTTAGGAAGTTAGCTGTGTTATATTTATATCTATGATGGCACTGCTAAGGCAGGATTCTTCATTTCAAAGTCTTACTTTCTGTGTTAATACCTTCTACATTTGAGTTGTTGAATGGAAACATGCTTCTGAGTTTAGCCATTATGCTACTAAACTTAAAATCATTTGCATATTATTTTTAAATTTGTTGTTTTATTGGTCGGGTTATACACAATTTTAGCACCACAGAAGGGGAAAGTTTGGGCTGAGGATCTACACACCAGAATACATAACCTTAAAATAACTTATACCTGATGCAGTCACTTTTAGGAATGCTGCTGCTGAGGAAGATTCAGAATGGCCCAACAAAAATAAAAGCTGGCCCAGATGTGGCTGAGCCTGGAAGTTCCTGGCTCAGAACACCTCCATGGCTTTCTTGGACATAAAGCCTGCAAGACTCTTCCCCATCTTTGGACAAACAGTATCTAATGGTTGTGACCTTGGGCAAAGTAAATTCTCCTAAGTCTTGATTTTGTCATCTATAACAGAGTGACAATTACCCACATTAAAGAGCAGTTGGAGGATTAAAAGAGAACAAGTGAAAACCCTTAGCCAACAACAGAAGCTGAAATAGTAATCTTTATTTGACCCATGGGAAAACACATGGGGACTCATCTCTCCTTAGTTGAGAAAGGATGGAACTTCAGCTACCTGTAATGTTCTTCTTACCCCAAATTTCCAGATACATTTTTGCCCAATAGCAATTTGATGTTAAAATTAGCATTTAATATTATTTGATTTTTCACATTATTATTCTGATGCCCTAGTACCTAGTTATTGCCCATCCTTTTCTAGCATTAAAACACAGAATATTCCCTATGTTGGACTAGATTTACTGAAATAGTTAGTGCCACATCTGGCATTCAATTACTTTTATATATACCTTTTCTAAGTATTTTAAAAATTATTTCAGAGAGGGAGAAATAGAAACATCAATGAGAGCATCATTGATTGGCTTCCTCCTGTATGTCCCACACCAGGGATCAAGCTTGCAACCCAGGCATATGCACTAACCAGGAACTGAATTATGACCTCCTAGTTCTTAGTTTGATGCTCAACCACTGAGCCAAGCCAGCTAGGCTATATATAGCCTTTGATAAGAAAACACAGCCCAAATATTTCCATACACACACACACACACACACACACACACACACACACACACACACACTCTGCTCACCTCATAATAAAATGCCTTTGAGTTTCCCATGTGTAGGTTTATACCTATTACTACAAATGAGCAAAGTTTAGAATGTAGGAGGTAGCATATCCTATATAATAGATAATATACTAATTAGACCAAACAGCGAAACAATAGTCTGGATGACCTTCCTGGGCAACAAGGACTGAGCTCCTTGCATGAATTTCATGCATTGGGCCTCTAATATCTTATAAATATGGAAAACAATGCCCCTTCCTAAAAGTAGAACTCTTTTCTTTACTGAACATCATCCTTAGACATCACAATTTTCTAATCCTTCACAGGGTGGGGCAAAAGTTGTTCATATGGAAAATACAGTAACAGATTATACAAAAAACTTTCGTGTACTCACAACTGTAAATCTGTTTTGCTTCACCCAGTATGGAAAGCCCCAAGACCAAAGCCCCAGCTATGACTTATTAATACAAAAATGTTCACAAAACTAATCAGCAAGAAAGAAAAATCCTTCAACCTGAGGTATACCTTCATAATGCAACCCCAAATTGGGGGATGAAATAACTAAAACATTTATTCAACACTAGATAAGTAAATTCAAAGTTGCCGGTGGTGGGGTAGCCATGTGCAAGTTAAGATCTAGATGGGGAAGTTTGGTTTATAAAATAAGCTCTTTTCCTACACAAAATCAGCATCAATCTGGAATAATTCAGATTTATGTGGGATAATTATCAATGTTTATGTCTGTGCTGATGAAAGCAACCCAGTTTTATATGGCAGATGGAAGAAACAATCTTAGGGTAATATAGTTTTAAAAATCAGTACAACTGACAAAAAAGTAACTATACAGAGACAAGAATATGGGTTAATGTGTTTGATGGAAAACTCCATTTTCTAAATCTCACTACTCTTCATATCAATCATTAACTTTCCCAGTATTTCCCAAACTAATCATATCTACTTTCTGGTCCTTTCAGCTATAAGGTCCCTTTAACTCCCAGATCTTCTCAATAATTTTCCCCCCCAACCGAAGTTCTTATTACAAAGACTACACTTTGAAAGTTTGGAGAAGAAAAGGAAAAGGGGGAGAGACGATCAAGCCACTTTCTCCCTTATCAGTATATAAAACCACAGAAGAGTTTTCCTGTGTTAAAATTAACATGCTTTTGTAATGAGTAATATCTTAGTGATAGGGTATATCTAATATATGGAAAGTAAATTAACAGAATCTGTCAGGCGGATAACTAAAAATACGTACGTCTTAATTACCTCCTGATATGTCGTTTCTATTACAAAAAACAAAACAAAACAAAAAGGCTGCTTTCTCGGTTCTCCCAGTTATGCTCAGATATAACTTTTAGTCAATTCCAATTTTTATTTTTAAAAATATTTTATTCTAAAAAAAATTTAGCTCATATATCACGGCTCATGAACTTCTAGGACAGGTGCAAGACACATTCCTCTTTTAAATAGAAAATAAACCACATTAGTTGAGTGGACTTTGTTTTAATTCATTCATTGAGACACCTGCAATTGCTAGCAAAAGTTTCCAACGTATGCTATTCTAACTTGGAGAAACAACTTTGTGTGCTTTATATATACTATCCATTCAAATTGGTTTATCAACATGAACTAAAAAACTATTAAAATTATTCAATAGAAGGTACATAATTTAAACATCCTACAGAAATGATGTTACCAGTAATTTACAATATTTAAAAACTCAGCCACACACAAAAAAAGTCAAGGCTAAAACCAAGATTTTTACTATGAATCAGTGCTTCTATTATCCTTCTGAAAGAAGTTATATTTTAATGTGATGTCAAGGCAACACTGAAAGTTTTCTTTTAAATTAACCACCTAACTTGTCCCTAAAATTACAAAGAATCAAAGTCTTTTACAGGTCAAGTGCAGTAAATTAAAATGTCCTTTCAGCCCAAAGCAGCACTAGAAAAATTAACAGTTATAAATGAGAGTTGACTAGTTTTGCAGTGGCTGCTCCATCAATGACAGACAAACATCAGACGGTATCCATCCAGAGCACAGACACAACTACAAGCTAGATGTGAAGACAGTGTCACAGGCTTGGCTGAAATGTCCATTGTTTTTGTTACCTTTCTACTTTAAATGAAGTGGATTTTTTAAAAATCTAATCAGGTCACATAAGTTGACTGCTTAAATGACAACATGTTGAGGTACGAAAGCTCTTAATATCCCTAACAATCAGCAGGATTTACCAGAGATGTATAAATAGCTTGTCAGGGGAACTTCCAAATACTTACACTATGGGTTAAAATGAATTCTAGAAGAGGACAACATTAAAGAGGATTAAAAGGATATTCTCTAAAACAGAAATGAGCAACTTTTCCTTCAGAATTCACTTTGAATAGCACATTAACAAATATAAATCTTCTCTGATAGTGTGTCCCAACATTGAGTCAAGATGGCCAACTAGCACCAAGAAGTCGTATGTTCAGTTGCAGTTCTCTTGGCAATTAAACCTATTTTTTCGTTCCAGTCCAAGCTCAAATGTAGATCACTGAAGACAGTACTGGAAGCGCCTTTTGCAGGTACAGATTGCAGTCATCATTAAATGAGCTAGAAGGTAGAAACTTTTTATTTTATGACAAGGGGGAGGGCAACTTGCCTGGGCTATACTAACTAGCAGGAGATGAAATTATTAGGGAGGGAATAATGAGGTTATAAGAAAATGATCACTGCCCTTATTTGGATTAAATAGGTCATGTTGAGAAGATAGTTATTTGTTCAAGATAAGGATGCTACATTAAAGGAACATATATTCATATATGCAGCATGAATACATTAGAATCAAGCTGCACCCAATTAAGGAAAAAAAAAGTCCCGAAGTAACCTTTAAAAGTACGTGTTCTCTGCCAGTCACAGAGGGGAAAAGCACCTAGGGTGAACTTTACAATTTAATGAGGACCTTATCAGGACCACAAAGCCTGAAACATCTGTTTAAATGCAGAAACACAGCCTCTAATCACACTGGTGAAGTTGGGAAAATTAAAGGGTGTTTTTTTTTTTAATTTTGTTATTGAATTACAGAATATACAATAGTTTAAATTACTAAGGATTCTAAATCTTCAACCAGCATTAGAACTGAACCACTTTCAAGTCCTAAGACACAGAAGACCCAAGAGAAGCAATAGCCATACAGATTAATATGTGCCCCTCTGCTTTCTGCTCTAAGGAAATCTTCAAACCAGTATCATATGAGAATCAGTGTTAATTCTTCAGCATTCCTGACAACTAGAAAGCATATTCACTGAAGGCTGAAGGTGAGAGAGCAGATGGTTTAACTTTAATATCTGTGAAGAATGGCGCCAATAGAGGAAAGAAAACCATCCAATCTCGGAAAGAATTAATGCAAATTTGGCTAGCAAAAGCCACCAGGGTTCACTGTGGAAGAACGCATGAGAAGTACTCTGAAGTACACAACAGGTCTAAACATCTCCCTTGTTGCAAGTAATTGTGTGAAATTCAAGATAAAGTTTTAGTCTTATCATTTTAATGTCAGTATTTTTTCCCACTTAAAAGGTAATAAGGAGTCGTCCTCTTTTTTTCTGCCACAAAATAAGAAAGCCACATGAATATGTGTATATTTCCATGACTCTTATAATAGAAGTGCAGATCTCCAAAGCCTAGGGATTTTCCTTAAGAGTGGGCCGTCCTGGTTACTCTTTCCTTAGAAGAATATTCCACCACAGAGAGCCAGAGGTTTTCCAGATGTGTGTGAGAGAGCAGGTGCGCAAGGCAAGCAAATGAGCGCAAACAGTATTATGGAAAACATTTGAGAAGTCAGCTCCATGAGGACTTGGGCTCCACAAGAGGACGTGACTAGGTAGCCTGGTCTGACACAGGAACATGAAAGCAGTGTATTGCCTCAAAGCTGGAAACCTTCCATAGGAGCCTCACACTGCTGGAAGATGTACTGCTGCTGGCTAAGGTCAACCTGGGGTGCAATGCTGCTGTCCTCATCCTCGGTACCGAAGTAATGCTCAATAAGATCAAAGGCCTTCTGGTAGATATCCTGATTTTCATGACTCTGTAAGAACTCAATTTTATCCAGACCTAGAATAAAGAACAAAGGAAAATCTGTCATCTATAGGAAATTCCAATGAAGCAATGTTTTGCAACATGTCTCCTTTCTTGAGGCTCTCTTCTCCATTTATATCTCATATGTACTTTGTAATAGCATAGACAGTATTGCTGGGGATTACATCTGAATACCAGCACATTACAAACTGACATCTTAAAAGCACGTACAAACAACAGTCAGACCCCAGAAACAGCAATTTCTATAAGTCACCACATCATCTAGTGCCAAGGGCAAGTCGCAGAAGAGTTCCTGCTGGACTATACCTACGGCCTAATTAATTCTTGGCTCTAGTTCTATCTACCTAGACACTGAGTTATTCAATATCATTACAGTGAAGCTGTAATATCCTTAAATCAATCAGAATCTGTTTTTATTGCTTAACCTTAGAAGTCTGACCAGAGCAATTAGCCAACATATTCCCTTTATTAAGGTCAAGCCCATCTGATCTTAATAAAATATTAAAATCAAAGGAAAAAATAACATTGCTAAATGGAAAAAAAAATACATATTCATATACATATCCATATTAACCTATATAGAAATAAAGAAGTAACAATAGTTATCTCTGTGGAGAAACATCTTTAGATAAAGAACATTTTTTCTTTTTTATACATTTCAAAACCCCTCATACTAAATAGGTATAGCTTTTGTAATCATGTTTTTTAAAAAAAATAAGTTGTTAAAATCTTTTGAAAAACAATTCTGCATTAGCTTATAAATCTGAAAAATAAATGTACCCCCATGATCCCTAATTTCAATCTCAGGAATAAACAAACCCCAGAACAGTGGTTTTTAACCCAGACCATGCGTTAAAATCACTTAGGCAACTTAAAAGGTTAAAGTACATTAGTACATTGATTAAGAATACAGTAAAGACTGAGATAGAAGAATGAGGAAACCAAGTGACTCTAAGATGAAACTCTCAGGAACTCTTTAGGCATACAGGAACTGAAGGTACAATACAAAATCAGAACTCTCAAGCTTACAAGAGCAAAGGAGTCAGGCATCATATACAGTAGGTACGGGTGTTCTTGAGCCTCAGATGGATTAGTTAAGGAAAAGCAGTCAGAAAACTGGGAAGATCCTAAGAGACTAGTGTAAAACTGGTTAAAATGAAGGGGACTTGCTTCTTTCGTATTTACAATACATACTCTTTTCCAATTCTACATACTACACATTATAATTCATAAGAAAACAATTTTTTCTATGTGTTTGCTAATGACAGATATGGACAGGCCAGAAAAGCAAAGAGAGGAAAAAAAAAATAACTTTAGGACATCTGTTTAATACTCTATCTTACCATAAGCTTCTTCGATCAAAGCACAGTAAGGATTAATGCCAGTGCCATTTCTTTTGGCTTCTTGTTCTCCAAGCCTCAGGATATTTTCCAAGCCGTTTAGGGCAACCTGTACAATCTTAGAGTCCATGACTGTGAGGAGATCACAGAGTGGCTTGATACAACCCAGTTCTACGAGGTACCTAAAGTAATAAAAAGAGTACTTTTGTCAAAGCTTTTAATTCAGTAAAACTTATTAGGGTGATGGAAGGATCATCCTCAACCTGACTACAGAAATAAAAAAGAGCATCCATTCAACTATATGCTACACCTTACCACACACAAAAAGCACAAATAAATCAAAGTTCTCTAGCAGTCAGTTCCATTCTTTTTTCCTTCCACAATTACTGGACTCCAAGGAACTGGAATACTCTTTCTCTGAACATGCACAACCCAAATAATAGAATAGTTTTGTTTCTATAGGTAACTGCACCTCTGAAATATGACACACTTGCTGTGAAAGCCAGCACAACATGCCCAACAGGCCACTCTATTTTGTACAAAGAACTCTTAAATATTAAAGAAATCAACTCAATGTAAAAATGGGCAAATGATCTGAACATACACCCGCAAAGATATACAATGGCAAATAAGCATATAAAAAGATGTTCAACTCATATACAGGGTATCCGCAAAAAAAAAAATACACATATTGAATAATTATAAAGACTGCTTATTAAGATACATTTTATTTTCAAAATGCAATAGAATCAGCTGTTAAAGTGTGTATACATATTTTTGGGACACACTATATATAACAGTAGGGGGCTATAGATTAAAACAATGATACTACAGACTTATTACAATGGCTCAAACCCAAAACACTGACAATACCAAATCCTGATAAGTATGTGGAGCAACAGAAACTCATTTTTTTGTTTGTTGGTTAGAATGCAAATTAGGATAAACCACTTTGAAAGACAGCTTGCCAATATTTTACAAAGCTTTCTATACAATCTGGCAATCTTACTCCTAGGTATTTACCCAATGAGGTAGAAAATTATGTTCACACAAAAACCTATACACCAATATGGCTCAGTAATTGAGCATCAACCTATAAACCAGGACATCATTGTTTGATTCCTGGTTGGGGCATATGCCTAGTTGTGGACTCAATCCCCAGATTGGGGTGTGCAGGAGGTAGCCGATCAATGATTCTCATCAATGATGTTTCCATCTCTCTCTTCCTCTCTGGAATCAATAAAAATACATTAAAATCATCATAATAAATGGCTAATATGCAAATGGCCATCACACTGGCCGTGATGCTGTAACAATCTATCAGCAGGGACCTGAGACTGCGTGGTGACAAGCCGGGCTGGGGGACCTGAGGCTGCGCCCCGCAGGGTGGGACTGGTTGGGTCTGGGTCTCGCCCAATGGGGGTCAGGCTGGCCAGGTCTTGGTCTGGCGTTATTTCAAGGCACGCGTGTGAGTGGGCAAGGACTTTACTCTGGGTCCCGCAGTGTGCCCCAGACTCTGACAGGAGGGAGATTTTCATATATATTTAACTAATTTTCTTTCATCTCTGACACTTCTATTATAGAAAAAGGACAAATAGCAACATTAAAATATTCTCTCTAATTAACTCCCTTTAATGTGCACGAATTTCATGCACTGGGCTACTAGTAAATAAAGACCACTATAGTGGTTTATTTATATTTGGTTCATTTAGCATAGAATTATAGATATCCATAATAATAAAAATGTAATATGCTAATTAGACTGAATGTCCTTCTGGAAGAAACCAGGGCTACAAGGGAAGCCCAGGTTCTGGGTGCCAGAGGAAAGCTGGTGTCAGCAGTTGGGGGAAGGAAGGCCTACTTGAATTTTGTGCATTGGGACTCTAATTTTTTATAATTGAAATCCATCTAAATCTTGTCTTCCCAACAAGAAAGAGCGGAAGCCACACAGATATCTGTATCAGAAAGCCAGTCTATTTTCTATAATTTGGACTATCATATTTTTATAAGAATATTTTTAACAAAATACTTCATCTAATTAATAAGAAACTGCTATGCAAAATTTAAAAAAGGGTAGTAGCCATTCTCTTTTCTAACTGAGCAAAATATCCCAAATACTTTCTGATGAAAGCTACCACAGTATTTTGGAAATGTTTTAAAAATGTGTACAGTTTAACCACTTCAATTAAGAAAACAGATTTGGTATACAATAAAGAAACCATTAATAATTACAAATCTGAATTTGAACATAAAACGTGACTATTAACTTGTTCCAAACTTCTGTAGTATTGCACATGACTGCCATCTGGTGGTGGCATACTGGCAGTAATGGAACATACATTAAGGCCTCAACATTGTCCAACTTTATGAGAAACAACACATACCAAAACCAATTTTACCACAGGCTCATTTATATAAACAAGAGTTAAGTTTCTACGCTAAAACAAAATGGTATTCAAGGACTTGCCATACCACAGAACAAGAATCTTGAAAGTTGAAAACAAGACCTAACCTCATACAAGACCACTTGAAAATCTTCCATTAATAACCTATCTATGATGAATTTTACCAAAATAGCTGTTGCATATGTTAACCTATTTATAAACTTTACAATTTCAGGTAAATACTTCTTATCTTCCATACCTGATCAATTTCTAACCACTATACGATCACGGCGAGCTACCGGAGCCTTCCTGATCAATTTCTAAAATGTTAGGATTACTTTACCTTTTCATTTTTAATTTTCAACAGAGGAATAAAAATTAGCATTGATTCTGTGCCTACATTTAAACCGCCGAAGCAGCAATAGCAGAGGTAGCTGTTTCCCTGACACTACATATGAGGAAGGGGTGGATGCTTTAACACTCATCGGAAACCATCTTCCCCTCATCTGAATTTCCCATAAAGAAAGTTAAGGCAGCCCTAGCTGGTTTGGCTCAGTGGATAGAGCATAAGCCTGCAGATTAAAGGGTCTCAGGCTCGATTCCAGTCAAGGCTCAGGTTGTGGGCTTGATCCCCAGTAGGGGGCATGCAGGAGGCAGCCAATCAATGATCCTCTGTCATCATTGCTGTTCTCTCTCCCTCCCTCTCCCTCTCTGAAATTTATATATATGTATTTTTTAAAAAAAGTTAAGTCAAGCTAAGAGTTGAGGATTCATTTTTTTCTTCATCACTGCTCTTTCTATCTGAGGTATTCAATGTCTATAATTTAGCATTTAATTATATATTCTTTTGAGGAATTAATTCCCGTCCACATTTTTTTCCCCCAAATTAGAGTTTTCATTCAATATTTTTTTTGTATTAGTTTCAAGTATACAGCACAATGATATACTTGACAAAGTGTTTCCCCAGTGTTTCCAGTACCCATCTGGCACTATACATAGTTATTACAATATTACTGACTATATTCACTGTCCTGTATTTTACATCTCATCCCCATGACAATTTTGTAACTACCCATTTATACTTCTCAATCCCTTCGCCTTTCACACCCAGTCCTCACCCCCCCCTCCCTTCTGGCAACCCTGAGTCTGTTCTCTGTATCTATAACTCTATTTCTGTTTCGTTTATTCTTTAGATTCCACATATAAGTGAAATCATATGGTATTTATCTTTCCCTGAGTTATTTCACTTAGTATAATACCCTCTAGGTCCATCCATACTGTCACAAATGGTAAGATTTCATTATTTCTCATGATTTCTACCCATACAAATGCCTTTTCTAGCCATCCTATGTAATAACAGGCTAATATGGAAATCGACTGAATGGCAGAGTGACTAATTACAATGATGCATACTGACCATCAGGGGGCACTCACTGCAGGAGCTGCCCCCTAGTGATTAAGGTGCTCCCACAGGGATAGCGATGCTCAGCCAGAAGCCCTGAGCCTGGCTCACAGCTGGCAAGCAGCGCAGCATATGGTGGTGGAGGGAGCCTCTCCTCCCTCCACAGCCACTGGACACCCCCCTGGACTGTGAGAAGGCACAGGCGAGGCTGAGGGATGCTCCCGCGCCCCCACGCACGAATGCAATGCACCAAGCCTCTAATACTATATAACAAAAGGCTAATATGCAAGTTGTCCCCTCAGGAGTTCGACCAAGAGTTTGATTGCTTGCTATGATAACATACACTGACCACCAGAGGGCGGCACAGAACATGGCAGATGACCAGTGGCGGAGGCAGGGTGGCGAGGGAGTGAGGGAAGGAGGAGGCGGAGAGCTAGGGAACCTGATCAGCCATGATCACTGGCTGGGCTTAGGAACCCTACCCATGCACGAATTTCATGCACTGGACCTCTAGTTAAGATTATAAGCTGCTACTACCCAAGGGGCCATTTAGTCTTAAGCTAATACAAATCTCTCTCTCTCTTTACTGTATACTATAGTACTTTAGGAGACACTTGCCTCCAATGAATTTGGTACTTTACCATATACCTCTCTTTCAAGTCTGGTCCAATTAAGCCATTTAAACTTGAAAGAGCAAGAGTTAACTATTAATGCTGGACTCTAAGGATTCTACATATAACTTTCTAGACTATTCAAGATGTTTCTGATCAAGTAGCTCCAGAATGCACTAAAGCCACCACTATAGTTATTTCTGCTTCAAACCTCAACTTTGCCATACTTCTCACATCCAGAATTTGTTTCTGCAAAAAGGCATGGGAAAGATGTAAGGAATGAATATCTATTATATCAATTATAAAACCGAGAATAATCTTCCAGGAGGCTAGAACTGAATATTCTTAAATGGCAGAGAAAATAAAATTTTTCTTTAACTTATAAGATGCTCCCTGGCTAGTACTTACTTGATCTGTTCAGCTGATCCTCCAGAAGTTGCATTTGTGATGGCCCAAGCAGCTTCTTTCCTTGTCCGAAACTCAGCAGTTTGTAATATACTAATGAGGGCTGGGAAAATGTTGCCATCTATCACAGTCTGAAATTAAAGAAAAATTAAATGGGAAGAAAAAGTATAAGATTTGTAATGTCTAACTACTATGGTGTACATGTGAAACTAATATAAAATATTAAATGTCAACTGCAATTAACAAAAATTTATAAGTGTAGCCGGGACCAGTTTGGCTCAATGGATAGAGCGTCGGCTTGGGGACTAAAGGGTCCTGGGTTCGATTCCAGTCAAGGGCATGTACCTTGGTTGCAGGCATACACCCAGTAGGGAGTGTGCAAGAGGCAGCTGATCGATGACTCTCTCTCATTGATGTTTCTAACTCTCTATTCTCTCTCCCTTCCTCTTTGTACAAAATCAATTATATATAAATTACTTCTTTAAAAAATAAAAATAAATTTTTTTTATAAGTGTTAATAATATGCCCTGGCTGCTATAGCTCAGTTAGAAGAGCATCATCCCGTGCACCAAAAAGTATCGAGTTCGATTCCCAGAAAGGGCATATGCCTGAATTTTTGGGCTCAAACTGCAGTAGGAGGCATGCCTGAGGCAGCCAATTGATATTTCTCTTTCTCTCTTCCTTCCTCCCTCTCTAAAATCAATAAAATATTGTTTTTTTAAAGTGTTCATGATACTAATTATAACTTTTAAAAATATATATATTTTTTTGATTTTCCACAGAGAGGAAGAGAGAGGGATAGAAAGTCAGAAATATTGATCAGAGAGGATCATCAATCAGCTGCCTCTTGCACACCCCCTACTGGGGATGTGCCCGCAACCAAGGTACATGCCCTTGACCGGAATCGAACCTTTCAGTCGGCAGGCCTATGCTCTATCCACTGAGCCAAACCGGTTTCAGCATAATTATAACTTTTCAGATGGTTTCACTAATAACATCCCTCCACCTTTTAAAAATAAATAGGAAGGAGTTACGTACTCATTATCCGTAACCTTTTGGCCATACTTGATATCAATAGCACCCTCTCTGGAGTCTGTGACCTTGTAATTTACTTTTACCTACCGGTATGAGTTTTCTCTTTTATTTTATTATCCTGTCGTGGTCCACCCACAATAAAGTTCAATTCTTTGTTCCTCTGCTATTCTCATTTCTCTCATAGCATCCACCTGACATGTGTGTTGTAACTCTCTTCTCACAGGAGCCCCAACCCAGAATGGCCAACAGCTTACATTAGATCTACTAATCGCCTCAAACACATCATCTGGCCTCTATACCAGGTTTCCTTTCAAATCTGTCAAATTCACAAAGGCTCTCTGTGTATTGATTCTAAATTCAATCATTCACTACATGTTTTACATTTTAATTTAAATGCTCTGGGTCCACCCTTTCCTTTCCTTTAGCACTGCCACCATCCTGTTCCAAGCCACCACCTCAATCCAGATTACCAGAATAGCCTTTAGCTGACCAGAGTACTTTTACTCAATCCCTCTACTCTACTAATATTAAAGTAGTGTTCTTCAAATTATTTTCTTCATGTTTCTCCTTAGCTCAAGTACTAAAATTGGTTCATATCATTTCCTACATAAAAAAACGTGAATGCTACATAATAGTCTGGTGCACAGCAAGCAATCAACTGCAGTTGAAATCACCTTGTATGTAAGCGATGAACTGCAAAAGCTACCAATGTCAGTCCCTGACAGCATTCTGTGAGGGGAGGATTAACCCATGCTTTCCTGGACGAGAATTTTTTCTATTACGCCAATGAGAGAAGCAAAGTTTAGCAGAAAGACACTTAATCTTCGTTCTGTCATTTACTCAAAATGCCCTGAAGCAAACCATTTTATTTCTCTGAGTCTCAGTTTCATCTATAAACAAGAATGCTGGATTAGACGACCTCTGATTCCACTCAGCTCAAAATCTCATAAATTGTTGTTCCAGCCTTTCTCATGGCCTACTTAGACCACTGCTTATCTTCCACTTCGGTTATTCTCCCACTGATAAATATATATATATATATATTATCCCTAATATGCAAATAGACCAAATGGAAGAACAACCGAACCACCAGTTGCTATGATGTAAGCTGACCACCAGGGTTTGTGCGCAGAACATGGTGGGTGTCAGCCGCAGGATGGTGGAGCAGGTGAGTGGGGACACCAGACCAAGGTGGGGTGCAGGTCTCTGTCATCGGAGCGAGCCTCTGGAGGTTACTGAAAATTCTGTTACCATGCACCATGGTCCCACCTGGTGCTTCACTTGCTGCTGGTGCTAGTCCCACTCACACCTGCTACCGGCACTGGAGCTGCCGCACGGCACCAGCCCTGATCGCTCGGCGCCATCAGTGGGTGCCAGCGGCAGCTGCTGGCCCCAAATGTCCCTAAGGCTTCTCCACCTCCCCCTGCTCCTGAGGGGCGATCAGGGCAGCAGCTACCACTCACACCCACTGCTGGTGCCGGCCCCAATCGCTCTGAGCCGCCAGCACGTGCAAGTGGCAGCAGCAAGAGCAGGGCTACCAGCAGACAGGGGACTGGCGGCCACAGTGGGAGGGCCAAGACCCATCCCTGTGCCCACCGCAGCATTATGGTCACGGTTCCTTTCAAGGTGCACTGGGCCCCTAGTATAAGAATAAAAGAAAAGCATAGATAACCAGCTAGAGAAAAATGAGTCCCCAAAGGTTCATGAGAAATTAAAGCAATCTAATACGTGAGTCCAATAGAAAAATAAGTATTTTACTTGGCAAGAGTAAAGCTAACCTGTTCGGCATAAAGTCCAAAAAAACTGCAAGAAAACAAGACACTATTACACTATCTTGGAATATCATCAAATATTAAAGGCAAAGGGAAATACCAAGACCCAAGTATAAGTTCAAAAGACTATCTTCTTTAAAATAGGGTTGTTGTTTTTTTTTTAAATAAAATGTAGACTGACAAAATAAGAGAACAATGTTGGCAGTAAGTAGTCTCCAAGGCAATAATGAAAATATCCTACCTAATAAAAGAGTAATATGCAAATTCACCATCACTCTGCTACACCCACAAGCCACGCCCACCAGCCAATCAGAGCAAGTATGCAAATAAATCCAACCAAGATAGCTACAGCCACAGAGAGCAGGAGGAAGGCTTGGGTTTCTCTGGCAATGTAAGAAGACAAGCTTTCCATCTGCCCTTGCCAACCTAAGCCTCCATTCAAGGCTACAAAGTTTCAATTATAGAAGGTAAACAAATCCAAACAGAAAGGGCAGCAGCCACGGAGCTGGAAAGAGTGGGAGGCTATGTTTGCCCCCCCCCCCTCCCCCGGAATGGAAGAAGCAAAGCTTTCCGCACACCCTGGCTGGCTCAGGCCTCCACTTAAGGCTACAAAGTTTCAATGACAGAAGATACACAAACAGGAGGCTTGGCTCTGCTCCAGTCTACAAAGTTTCAATTGTAGAATGTAAATAAATTCCAGATACCAGGGCCTCTGTGTGGGTTGCCAGGGGGTGTGGCCAGCCTGCAAACCACCATAGGCTCCTTGTTCAAGCTGCCCCACACCCAAAGGGAACCCCCACCCAGATCCGGGACACCCTTCAGGGCAAACCAGCCAGCCCCCACCCATGCACCAGGCCTCTATACTATCTAATAAAAGAGTAATGTGCAGATTGACCATCACTCCAACACACAAGATGGCTGCCCCCATGTGGACACAAGATGGCCACCACAAGATGACAAGCAGGGGAGGGCAGTTGGGAGGGACCAGGCCTGCAAGGGAGAGCAGTTGGAGGCGATCAACCTTGCAGGGGAGGGCAGTTAGTGGTGACCAGGCCGGCAGAGAAGGGAAGTTGGGGGCAAACAGGCTGGCAGGGGAGCAGTTAGACATCAATCAAGCTGGCATGGGAGTGGTTAGAGGATGATCAGGCTGGCAGGCAGAAGCGGTTAGGGGTAATCAGGAAGGCAGGCAGGTGAGCAGTGGGAGCCAGCAGTCCTGCATTGAGAGGGATGTCCGACTGCCTGTTTATCAGGCCTAAATGGGCAGTCGGACATCCCTTGAGGGGTCTCAAATTGGAGACCTGTGCACGAATTTCGTGCATCAGGCCTCTTGGTATATTTTAATAACTGACACAAAAAAAATTGTACTTATCCATAAAAATATGAAGAAAAAAAAAAAAAGATGCTATGAAATTACCTGGATCTGGGCCCTGTTTCCTGCTGTGATATTTGATATTGTCCAACATGCTTCCTTTTTGATAGATTCCTTTGGGCTACTCAACAAATGCAATAAACTCTGCAGAGCGGAGCAATTCAAAATTACCTAAAACGAGAAGTTTGAAAATTTTACTTAGTGATGCAAACAAATGTAAGTAAATCTTTACAAAAACTTTATTTTAGGAAAAAGGCAAAGAAATAACTTAATGTCCCCCCCTTAAAATTTTAGAAACAAATAACTTCATATCTTACCTACTAATAGGCAAACGTAAATTGATTGTACCTTCACTACACCTATAGCTAATCAGAGTGACTATGCAAATTAACCGCCAAAAATATGGCAGTTAATTTGCATACATATTTGTATGCAAATTATTTGCAGGGCCTGTGTCTCAGGAACATCCTGGCACCCAGGTCAATGTGAAGTAGGCCTGGGCAGGAGCGGACCCCCTGCGGTTGGCCGCAGGGAGCTGGGGGTCTGCTCCTGCTGCTAGAGGCTTTAGGCCTGGGCAGGGCCCAACCCTCCACTGGTGTGAACTATAGAGGAAACACCTTTTCTGACTGCACAATGGCTAAGCTTCCTGTATGCCACTGGTAATATTCTTAGTAACTTGGGTAATAAGAATCCAAAAAGGTGATCTAGGGTTTTTCCACTACACTCTGGAGAAAAAAACGAAGGTCCACTGCTGGAGGGCTAAGAAATGTCATATCCTGCCCTAGCCAGTTTGACTCAGTGGATAATGCCTCGGCCTGCAGACAGCAGGGTCTGGGTTCAATTCTGATCAAGGGCTTGTACCTAGGATGCAGGCTTCTCTCTGGCCGGGGCCCAGATCAGGGTTCATGCAGGAGACAACCAAACAAAGTATTCCTCTCACTTTGATGTTGCTCTCTGTCTTTCCCTTTCTCTTCCACATTCTCTAAAAGTCAGTGGAAACATATTCTCAGGTGAGAATAAAAGAAAAAAAAAAGAGAGAGAAAGAAATGTATATCCTATGAAAGACACATCTTGAAAATGCCTTAAGAAAATTGTCATTTTTTTCTTGGTGAAGGGACTGGAGTCCGTATTGATGAAACCACCTTAGTGACTGTGGTGATTGGCAGTGGCTGCAGCAGTGGGGTGATGGGGGCTGGTGCCTTCCCCTGATCAGCCCAGTTGCCTCCCACCAGCCTCCCACAAAGGGAAGCCAGGTTGCAGCTTAGGCTTGCTCCCTGGGGAGCTCCCAGTATGTAAGAGGGGGCAGGTTGGGCTGAAGGACTCCCCACCTCCAGTGCACAAATTTTGTGTACTGGGTCTCTAGTATGTAAAAAAGTATTCACTGCTAGTAATAATTAGTTTCTATGATTATCAAAGCAGTTTCATTGTACACATTCTCAACTACTAAAACCATACTTAGTAAGACATAATAATGTCTTATTTACTTTCCTATCCTTACAGCACATTAAAATGCCTTTGAATGGGTACATATCAAATGGCCAAAAATTAAGAAGTGGTCTCAGAATTTTAAGTCCTCTGATAACCCTCTAACTGGTAGTCAATGAACCAATACATACTTAATGAAGCATTATAAGATACTAAGATAAAAAGAATATCTCTTTAGCTACCAAACAGCTTACAAAGGTGAGGGAGATAAAAAATAAAGAAGAGCTACTCTACCAAAATTAAAATCATAAAGTTGTCATGATTAAAATTATTAATAGGTGGCTGGCTCAAGAATCAACCACCAAACAACAGAATAGATAACAAGTACAAAAGCAAATGCAGATATTTATAAAGAATCAAGTATATAATAAAATTAATCCTTTCCTCCTACAATAATTGGTAGTCTTATTTAATAGTTGGTACTAGAATAAAGGAGAGTTGAAAACATTTTTTTAAAAATCCGCTCTTAACCCTAGTTATAAAAATAAACTTTGCAGTTGGTTTAATGAATAAATATAAAAGAAAAATCATAAAACAGAAGAAAATATCAGTAAGTAGCTGGTTTTGGGATAGTGAAGGACTTTTTAAGCATAAAAACAATGAAAAAATGGGAAAATCAACAGATAAGAGGGTTGCTAACTTTAATATGTAATGGTGAAAAACTAAAATTTTAATAAAAAATCATCTCACAAGTAATGAAAGAAATGCAAATTAAACGGAAGTCTTTTTTTTTGGGGGGGGGGGCAGTTAAATTAATGTAGCTCAAACAAAAAAAAACAAAAACAAAAAAAACACACCACCAAACTTTAAACAAATATTCTAAATAATAGTATAAAAGGTGTCACAAAGTAACTTTACAAATACCAAAACATGTGGTCTGGAAAATAAACATATCAGAAGTTAAACATAATACTTGGGGAAGAGTTGTCAGGAAAATACTTTATAGGAAGGATGGGTAAGATTTCAAAAGCAAAGAAGAGAAAGGAATCTCCAACATTTACAGGAAACTCATACAACTTAACAAAGGAAGATAAACAACCCAATCAAAAAATGGGCAACGAACCTAAATACACACTTTTCTAAAGAGGACATAAGGAAGCCAAGAGACATATGAAAACATGCTCAAAATCACTAATCATCTGAGAGATGCAAATCAAAACGACAATGTGGTACCATCTCACACCTGTCAGAATAGTTATTAACAAATCAACAAACGACAAGTGCTGGCGAGGATATGGAGAAAAAAGGAACCCTCGTACACTGCTGGTGACAATGCAGACTGGTGCAGCCACTGTGGAGTTTTCTCAAAAAACTAAAAATGGAACTCCCATTTGACCCAGTGATCCCACTTTTGGGAATATATCCCAAGAAACTAGAAACACCAGTCAGAAAGGATATATGCACCCCTATGTTCATAGCAGCACAATTCACCATACCTAAGACTTGGAAACAGCCTAAGTGCTCATCAGCAGATGAGTGAATTAGAAGACTGTGTACATCTACACAATGGAATACTATGTTGCGGTAAAAAAGTTCTTACCATTCACAACAGCATGGGTGGAACTGGAAAGCGTTATGCTAAATGAAATAAGATAAATTTTACATTCCCAGTCAGAGAAAGATAAATATCACATGATCTCACTCATTTATGGAATATAATGAACAATAAACTGATGAACAAAAACTAATTCAGAGACAGAAACATATTATAGATCAGAACATCAAACCTCAAAGGGAAGGTATGGGAGGGTGGAGGCTAGGGGGAGAGATCAATCAAAGGACATGTATGCATGCATATAAGCTTAACCAATGGACAAAGATAACAGGGAAGTGATGGTATGAGTGGGAGGGGGAGTTGAGGGAATAATGGGAGAATAAAGACACATATGTAATTCCTAACTCAATAAAGAAAGAGAAAGGATCCCTAAGGTAGGTTGAAAATGAGAAAACGAGCTATTTCTCCACCATCAAGGTGCATACGTTAGCTTCTTCTTCACCATGTCTTCTGACAAGACTTTCAGGATCAAGAAGTTCCTGGCCACAGAACAAAAGCAGAACCAGCCCATTCCTCAATGGATTCGGATAAAAACTGGTAATAAAATCAGGTACAACTCGAAGAGGAGACATTGGAGAAGAACCAAACTGGGTCTATGAGGAATCACACAAGAGATGACTCTCATATTTATGCTGTATCCAGGTTGCCTACATCTTTAAATGATTGAAAAGATCGATACTGTCTGGACAGTTGGGGCATTTTAATTGGAAAATTAATGGACTCATGATTCTGCTCTACTCACTTTTTTTTTTTCTGCAGTAGTAGGTTGGTTCAATAATAAATGTGAGACCTTTCAAATCAGAGAAAATGCACGTTGACCCAAGAACCAGGCCAGTTTCGATTCTCAGTCAGGGTTGCAGGCTTGATCCCCCAGTAAGGGGTATAAAGGAGGCAGCCAATTAATGATTCCCATCATTGATGTTTCTAACTCCCTCTCCCTTCCTCTCTCTGAAATCAATAAAAACATATTAAAAAATATTTAAGAAAATGAGAAAATGCTGAGATTGGCTACCCCAAGTACCAAAGTAAGAAATTAGACCAAAATTAACATTTAGCCAGAAAAAGAAAACGGAGACTAAAATCTTAAAGTGCAAATTCCTTAAAGTCTTTCCAAGTTCTTTATCTCATAGGCATAAAATAAGCTTTTTTCTTTACTCCAAGCCCGCAACCAACTCGGGCATGTGCCATGACTGGGAATTGAACTGTGACCTCCAGTTTCATAGGTCAACACTCAACCACTGAGCCATGCCGGCTGGGCTTTTTTTTTTTTTTTTTTTTTTAAGTTTCCCTGTAGTTTATTTTATTTTTTAAAAAATGTATCTTTATTGTTTTCAGAAAGGAAGGAAAAGAGATAGAAACATCAATGATGAGAGAAAGTCACTGACTGGCTGCCTCCTGCATGTCCCCTACTGGGGATTGAGCCCGCAACCCAGGCATGTGCCCTTGACTGGAATCAAACCTGGGACATTTCAGTCTGCAGGCTGATGCTCTATCCACCGAGCCAAAACAGCTAGGGTGAAGCTTATTTCTTTTTATAATATAATTTCTTTTCTTTTTTTTTTTAAATATATTTTATTGATTTTACACAGAGATGAATTGAGAGGGACAGAGAGTCAGAAACGTCGATGAGAGAGAAACATCGACCAGCCGCCCCTTGCACACCCTCCACTGGGGATGTGCCCGCAACCAAGGCACATGCCCTTGACCGGAATCGAACCCGGGACCTTTCAATCCGCAGGCTGACGCTCTATCCACTGAGCCAAACCAGTCCCGGTGTGAAGCTTATTTTTAAGAGGAAAATAAATAATGTGAACAAAGTTATTTTAAGAAAGGTTAAGCTGTTATTAGAATAAATTGAGGGGGATAATGCTTGGGGAAGTAGGAAGTTAAATCAGGTGGGTACAACAACAACCTTTGTGTGAGAGAAAAAAAACAAGAACCAAAATAAGATGATAAGACATGGATCAGGCAACATTTAACATAAGACATGGATCAGGCAACATTAACATAAGACATAACAGTAAGAATCAACAAGACCTGGTAACTTATAAGGTGTGAGAGATATGGAGACTTCAAATATGACTGTAAAGTTTCAAGTGTGGATGAAGAGTTGTATCTTTAATTGCAATGGAAAAAATCAAGAGTTGGAACATGCTTTGTGGGGGAAGAACATAAACTGTACAAGACAAATGTGAGACATGCAAGCAGAAATATCTAACAGGCTACTAGATAAATGGGACTGAAACTTAAGAGAAAGTCAGAATTGATGTATAGATTCAGAACTTCATTCAATAAATATTTTAGTTCAGTCAATTTGCATATTATTCTTTTATTAGATAGGATTAGATAGGATAGAAGTCTGATGCATAGGTGGAGGCTGGCTGGTTTGCCCTGAAGGGTGTCCCAGATCAGGGTGGGGGTTCCCTTGGGGTATGGGGTTTGGGGTTTGGGGCAGCCCAGGGGCCTGTGGGTGGTTTGCAGGCCGGCTATACCCCCGTCGACCCAAGAAGAGGCCCTGGTATCTGGGATTTATTTATCTTCTATAATTGAAACTTTATAGCCTTGAGCGCAGGCCACGGCAGGCCAGGAAGTTTAGCTTCCTCCATCGCCAGGGAAACCCAAGCCTCCTGCTCACTCCGTGGCTGTAGTCATTTTTGTTGGGATTTATTTATCTTCTATAATTAAAACTTTGTAACTTTGAGTGGAGGCAGGGCAGGCCAGGGCAGGTGGAAAGCTTGGTTTCCTCCATTGCTGGGAAAATCCAAGCCTCCTGTTTGCTGCAGCTCTGTGGCTGTACCATCTTGCTTGGGTTAATTTGCATACCTGCTCCTGATTGGCTGCTGGGCGTGGCTTGTTGGGATAGCAGAGGTATGGTTGATTTGCATATTACTCTTTTATTAGATAGAATAACTTGGAGAGATTTCTATATCAATGATTAAGAATCTCTTCCTTCTGTTGCATAGTATTCCATTATATAGTTAACAAATTTTATTTTTATTTATTTTTAAATGTTTTTTATTATTAATTTTAGAGAGAGAGTAATGGATAGCGGGTATTTGTCAGAATTGGTTGATGAGAGAAGAAACATAGATTGGCTGCCTCCTGTATGCCTCCCACAAGGAATCTAGCCAGCAACCTGGGCATGTGCCCTTAATAGGAATTGAACTGGAGATCTCCTGGTTCATGGCTTGATGTTCAACTACAGGGCAACTCCAGCCCTGCGATACAGCTGCCAGATTTTATATGATCTTAAACATCATCCAAGGACAATATAGAGGGCCATAAAAAGAGATGTGATCAGATTTGTGTAACATGCGAATGGTACAAGAAATGTCTGAACTAAGCACTACAAGAGATGAGTAGAGATGGAATAATAGTTAGAGACTGATGATAGTATGGAAGAAGAATCAAACTGATGTCCAGGTTTTTGCCTCAGGTAACTGTCGGTCCCATTTACTGAAAACAGGAACATAAATAAGCAGAGGCCCAAATATATAAGAGAAAACAATAAGTACCATAGTGGATAGAATAAATTTAAAGAACATATGAGAGTTTGAAGACAGAACAAACTCTATCTACCTTAATTTTAGAGATCAGAAAAGTACAAAAGACATTAAATGTCTGTTGAAAGTAAGTGGTGGTTAAGAAAAAGCAAGGTAAGGCTAAAACCTAATTCTCAAAGTGATGGATGAATTTGTAAAAAGATCAGTGAATAAGGCTGAAGGATTATCTCCTGGAGAATTCCCACAAAAAGTAAGAAACAGAAAAAGGAGCTCACTAAAGGGAAATAATAAATAAGTTAGGAGACCTAAAATACTTCAACACCACAACAGCCTAAAAAGATAATTTAAAGAGGACAGCAATGTGCCAATGTACCTAAGAGACCAAGAAGGAAAATGGCTAGGCCAATCCACTGTGAGTAATGATCTGGATACAGAAGTTGAATGGAGTGACATTAGGAGCTAGAAGGGAAGAATCCTCCTCACACAGGAGACTTACTGACCATATGCAAAAAGGAGAAAACTATCAGAAATGATGAGATAAAGATGACAGAGAAAGAGAAAAGATGCTAATGAAGGCTTCAAATGCTCACTAGAACCTTTTCAAATAGGAGTAGTAGGAAAGAAACCTGCTCAACCAAAGATTAAGTTAAATCATAGGGGGACCCAAAATTTCTATAAGTACCACATCAGAAAGGTTGTAAAAGTAGTTAACCAATTTTTTTTGTTTGTTTTACTTGCCTAATTTTTATTTTTGAAGGAAAAAAACAGTTGTCACATATTCATACCTGTGTCTGAATATCATCCCCTGTGACAATGTTTCCCACGGCCCGCAAAGCAGGAGAAACCACTTTGTAATCATTATGCCTGCAACCATAAAAAGAAACGTTATTTCTAAAAATTCTATCCTTAAATTTATTTTCCATAGAGCTAAAACACAAACTAAATAACATGTGATAGAAAGGTACTGATGGTGGTTATTAAGGGAACCCTATCATGATGACAGAATGTTTGCTATCCCCTAGAGCACATGTGTCAAACACAAGGCCCGCGGGCCAAATCCGTCCCGCCAGGCCTTGCAATGTGGCCCGCACCACGCTGTCATCACTGCACTCCGCTGCTTTTCCATCACAATGACAGTTTATGACTGTTCAGTAAACCATTCGGCCCGCGATTTAGGCTGGATTTTAGATTTTGGCCCCTTCTCTGATTGAGTTCGACACCCCTACCCTAGAGGATCCAACTCTTGGTTTATTTAGTATTTTTGGATAAAAAACTACAAATCTTTCCTAATAATATTTCTTGGTATTCCATCATTGGGATTCGAAGTTTTCCCTCTGATTGTTTGTCATAGTCTTTATTTGGTCTCTAAACTACTCCTGACATACTCTTTCACATAACCCTTTATATATTTGAAGACAAATATTAAATCTTTACTTCAGGCTAAGTTAATGTCTTTTAATTTTCCTTCAAAATCCTATTTTTTTCCTCCCTTTTTAATAAGATTGATCACTCTTCTCAAAACTGTGACAGTTTCTTCACATTTAAGATTGGATGATTAAAAAGAAATGGTTACGATACATATGTAATCTAGAGACTAAAGAGTACAAAAGATTACTTCCCTGATTTTAAATGCTGTACTTCTGACCCCTGGAGCATCAGATTGTTTTTAATTCACAATAGCATTATGCTTCTGATCTGCACGCACTCTGCAACAAGCTATAATCCCAGAGTTTGTCATTGTGTATATTACACTTATCTAATTCATTTCACGAGGCATGTTTGACGCAGTGTCTCCTTGCATCGACTTTGTACTTACTTGAATTAAATTTCAAGCGGCTTATAATTGTATATCATTTCCCCGTTATCTTACCACTCTAACTTTTTTTCTTTAGTATTATCTAAAAACTAGAGGCCCAGTGCACGGAATTCGTGCAAGATTAGGCCTTCACAGCCACAGCTGCCTTGATCCTCCCTCACAGCAGGGGGACGAGGGGCGGGTGGGGAAAAGGGACTGCCTAGATCCCTCCCTCAAAGCCTCACAGATGCCTTTATCCCACGGATGCAGCCCTGGCTTCCTCCCAGAAGGATGTACGGTCTAATTAGCATATAATGTTTTTATTATTATAGATTGTTATAGATTTGAATAATACAGTCTTTATGTTGTCAGTAAATCTTCCACTCCATCAGTCAAAGGCATCACAAAGAGATATAGCAAATTAAAATTCAAAGGATGACATCAATCTAGAATAAGTTCTAAAGCAGACAGAAAGGTAAGGAATGACTATTGTTAGTGGCAATATGCCTTTCACCATCCAGTAAATATGAGCTGAAATTACATACATTAGTTTATCAAGTGTTCCTGAAGGAATGCTAACAGAAGAAAAGTGAGAAGTTCTTTATAAGTCTCAAAACAAACAAACAAACAAACAAACAGACTTGAGATCAATATAAACAATTACAAAAGACAGAAGCCCAAAGCACAAGAAGCCAATATAATGAATATTTGAGTTCAGCAATTGTTATTGGGACAAAAAAAAAAGCAGGCACACTTTCTTCAAGATAACTTACATCAGCAACTCCACAAGTCTTCTACACACCCCTGCATCAATGACTGCTTGAATTTTATCATTAGGTCCATCAGATAGATATGAGAGGGCCCAGCAGGCATCAGCCAGTACATCAGTGTCGCTGACAAATAGCAACCAGGAAAGCACATTCAGACAGGGGGAAACCTGTAAAGGGAAGATGGTATAATTATGAAATTCATAGAATAAAAGCAAGTGAGGTGAGAAACTCCAAAAAGCAACCAGACACACACTTGCCGACTTCTGGAGTGATTAGTAGTACTTCTAGAGATGGAGTAGCAAGTGGTCAAGTGGCATGTCCATCTTTGGGAAAGCTGTAGGTGGCCTTGTAGTTTACTTAATGAGGCAGAGAGAGCCCAAGGAAAATAATTTCAGAGAGCAAAGTTTAATATAGACCAATTTTGAGAGAATCCTTATCAAAACACACTCATTGCAGATCAAAGAGGTAAAGGAACTTCCATAAGTGTTAAGCTAGGAAATTCTGTATTTTAGATACTTTGTTATAAACAAAAAAGGCTAGGTTTACAGATTAATTCAGAGCTTTTTCAGGCAGTGAAAATTTATCCAAAAACAAAACAAAACAAAAACAAACAAAAACAAACCATTTCTCTAGAAAAAAGTTTTGATAAAACTTGTTAGAATTTTATTACTTTTTTCCTCTCATATTAATATTGGTTGCTCACTTTTTTAATTGTAATTTTTCTGCCAATTTCCTACAAGTATAATCCTTACCTTTGCAAATTCTGGAGGTGGACTTTTCCCTCTACAGAGATTAGACAAAGCCCACACAGCATTCCGGGTCATAGTCAGGCGGTTTTGCTTTGAAAATAACCTACAAGTATGATGACACAATGGTAAACAATATAATGAACATTAATTCTGTGATGGCATAATATAAATACTAACCCATTTTCTCCAAAGCAATAGCTTAATTCTAACCAAACCATTCAGAATTTTGGGGCTGGAATTTCTTCAGATGCCTGAAGAAATTATCTGAATAAGTCATTAAGAAAATGTCTAAAACAACAATAAAAATAACAGAAAAATCCAAAATGATTTTCAAAGATGTATTAGCTTTCTGAAGAATATCCCATATTTTTATTACTTAAAAAGGAAAAAGAAACTTACTGCAAAAGAGGGGGAAGAATGTTGCAGTCTAAAACATAGTCCCTGCACATGGTACTATCTCCAGCAATGTTGCCAAGAGCCCAGACTGCCTGTGAAAAATCATTCATTAATGAAAGTTGGTATATTTTTATTCTCTTATAATTCTTTTTAAAGAAGTTAACAAATCACAATAACTCTACAAAATTACACTGTAGTTAATCAACATATTATACATGGACATCACTAACATCCCTAAGCTCACTCATCAAGAAGTCAGATAGTTGTAGGATTGGGGAAAGAAGATCAATAATAATATAAAGTTTACACGCAAGGTAGTAAACTTCATAAAGAGGGGAAACAGTTCTTAAACGTATTCTTTACCTTCGGGAACCCACCCCTAAGTAACATTCCACACAGCTCTTGGTATAGAGCAGGGATGCCTATGGCTTACTCAGCTGGTTAAAAATGTATTTTAAGCTTGCTTGCAAAAGAAAACAGTAAACCAAAATTTAAGAACAATAAAAAAACACAAAACTTTTGGACAGGTGATGGATATATCAACTTTCTTGATTATCATAATGGTTTCATGGGTACATATATGTCAAAACTTATTAATTTATATATATATATACAGTTTATTATAAGTCAATTATACATCAATAAAGCTGCAGAAGAAAATTATTACCATTTAGCTTTTTGTATTTGTGAATTTTGATAAAGTTGGCAGTAATAAAAAAAATTCATGTTTCTTAAGTCTTTTGTGCACAAAAATGGCAAAGATCTGTTATTTCAATCAACACTAGATTTCTATAAAAAAAAGCTCAATTAGTAATCTAAAAAGTATATCTATATCTATAGGGCTTAAAGAAATTCAGGATTGGAAGGAAAAGTGGTTTTGTTTCTAGAAGAAATTCTACCTATATTTGCTATAAAATTTTTACTTTGGTAAATTTAGATTTCTAGAATGTTCCCTGTAATGAACCATAGAATATCATGGCCAAATGGTAAAATTGAGGCCCTAAATGTAAGAAAATTGTATTCTTTCACCTGCTTCTTTTTATCTGTTTCATTTTTTTACCTGCTCCTGGACATCTTCAAACTCTGAGCTGAGCAACTCTATGAAGATAGGCACAGCTCCTGCCTGAATTACAATCCGGGTCTGATGAGAATTTCCTGAAGCAATATTTGTCAATACCCAAGCTGATTCAAACTATAAAGATAAAAATAATTTCATTATATTATTAAGATTTTAACAGCATGTTTAATTATAACAATTAGGTTTTCTGTACATGAAGAAAAAAATCTGAGATGATTTGTATATATAACCTATCAGGTAAATGCTATATTAATTTTAAAAAGAATTCCCAGAAGAAATACCTCAGCACCCAGAGGACTATTTGGGAGTCTAAAATTTCAGATCAAAGCAGAGCTGACAAGAGACCATAAAAAAAAATGAGGGAGTGCTTCATATGCTAACATAGAATAATCTCCCAAATTATGAATTTTTTAAAAAAATGAAAAACAGCATACATTAATATATCATAATATATTTTCTAAAAGGGTTAAGAGGGAATGTATACATTAATTTACTTATTGTACAGAGTATCTCTGGAAGGAGTCACCAGTAACTGCAAATACTTGTTACCTATGCAGAGACATCAGGGTGATTAGGGAACAAAGATGGGAAGAAAAAACAGGTAGAATGAAAAAGGCAAAAGATGTTTTAAATCAGCGGTCGCTAACCTTTTAGACCTCATTGACCACCAGTGGTCCACAGGCCACCAGTTGGCAACCGCTGCTCCAAAGGTTTCCTTAAACCAGCAGTCGCCAACCTTTTGGACCTCACAGACTACCAGTGATCTACGAACCACCGGTTGGCAACCGCTGCTTTAAATAGTAAGTAGGGCAAAATAAGTTAACAGACATATAATTGATAGAAATGGGAACTTCAGAGCATAGGAGCTTCCAATAAATGAGAAGGCTCCACACCAAGGCACAGAGGTAAAATTAAAAAGAACAATCTTAGCCTTAGCCGTTTTGCTCAGGGGATAGAGTGCCAACCTATGGATTGAAGGGTCCTGGGTTCAGTTCCGGTCAAGGGCACATACCCAGGTTGTGGGCTTGATCCCTCGTAGGGGGCATGCAGGAGGCAGCCAACCAATGATTCTCTCTCATCACTGACATTTCTCTCTCTCTCTCTCTCCTCCTTTCCTCTCTGAAATAAAAAAATAAAAAATAAAAAAAAACATTCTTAAAGGTTAATAAACTGGTAAACAAAGATTCTGAAGAAAATTGTGGTCAATGAAAATTACTGCATATTACTAATCTTACCCCTTCTATAGTAACTTGACCTGAGCCTATTATAAATCTAGGAATTAACTATTAAAATCCAAAAAATGAATTCTTACAATTCTATTATAGTTGAGTTCTTAGTTTTTTATTCCTTCTTCTGTTTTGTCTTTTAATCATCCTTTAACAAAGATCATATGCAGAAAAAGATTCAATGGTATGCCCTAGCCCAGTGGTCGGCAAACTCATTAATCAACAAAGCCAAATATCAACAGTACAATGACTGAAATTTCTTTCTTTCTTTTTTTTTCTTTTTTTTAAGAGTCAAGTCCAGCTCAAGAGACTATGTGCACTTGTTTTTATTTAAAAAAAATTTTTTTAATATATATTTTATTGATTTTGTACAGAGAGGAAGGGAGAGAGTTAGAAACATCAATGAGAGAGAGTCATCAATCAGCTGCCTCTTGCACACCCCCCACTGGGGATATGCCCGCAACCAAGGTACATGCTCTTGACCGGAATCGAACCCAGGACCCTTCAGTCCCCAAGCCAACGCTCTATCCATTGAGGCAAACCGGTTTCGGCTGGAATTTCTTTTGAGAGCCAAATTTTTAAACTTAAACTTCTTCTGACACCACTTCTTCAAAATAGACAGGCCCAAGCTGTGGTATTTTGTGGAAGAGCCACATCAAGGGGCCAAAGAGCTGAATATGGCTCGTGAGCCACAGTTTGCCGACCACGGCCCTAGATGATTTAACTCAGTGGATAGAGCATTGGCCTGTGGACTAAAGGGTCCTTGGTTTGATTCCCATCAAGGGCACATGCCTAGATTTGTGAGGCATGCAGGAGGTAGCGGATCAATGATTCTCTCTCATCAATGACATTTCACTCTCTCTCCCTCTCCCTTCTTCTCTGAAATCAATAAAAAATATATTTTGAAAAAGGAGCTATGACTATTCTAAGCTTTGAGGTAGACTGAAAGGCAGTTGTCATTAAAAAAACAACAACACACATCAATCATAAGGGGTGAGAAGATGGAAGAAATCTGATTAGCACAGTTTAAAGCCACATATGAATGATAGCAAATTCATAGCAGAAGATGTTTAAAGAGGATGTTCAAAGAAACCTATAAATGTGACATGCACAAGTGAGATAAAGTGGCTTGGTAGCTATAGTGGACACTGATATTACAAGAGCAATCAGTACCAGAATAGGAGCATCCTTTCAAACCCTGAATCATCACAAAACCCATCAGCCTAGCCAGTCAGGTAGCTCAGTTGGCTGAGTGTCATCTTATACACCAAAAAGATTGCAGTTCAATTCCTGCTCCGGGCACATAAGGAAGGCAACAGATTGATGTTTCTCTGATACATCGATGTTTCTCTTCTCTCTCTAAAAAATAAATAAAAATATTCTTGGACTCAGCTGGTATGGCTCATTGGTTGAGCATCAACCTATGAACCAGGAGTTCTCTGTTCAGTTCCCAGTCAGTGCACATGCCCAGATTGCAGGCTTGATCCCCAGCGTGAGGTTTGCAGGAGGCAGCTGACCAATGACTCTCTCTCATCATTGATGTTTTTATCTCTCTTTCCCTTTTCCTTCATCTCTGAAACCAGTAACAATACATATATCTTTTTAAATCCTCAGGTGAGGATTAAGAAAACCAAACACATCAAATAACCCCCTATAATTAAATCACTACTGAAACCAATGCTCAAACCCATTTCAATCTGTCTAAATTGAAACTTTACATTTATATAACATACTCTCAGATGTTTCTCACAGCAACCCAGAGAAGTCTGGCACTTCTCTAGTTTATGAATAAGGAAACTATTAAAAAAGATCCAACAATCTAATGATTGTTACACAGCCAAAGAGAACTATACTTTAGTCTCCTATTCTACTACACTTATAGCCAGCCTCTCTGGCTTCCTCTTTCAGTTTTATCTCTGAAGTACACCTGTAACACTGACAAGATTATTTCAACTGTAGTTTTGGTATCTAGGGTCAGAAATGTCAAATATATCAGATTATTTACTGGATATTAAACTGAAAACACAGTTCACCTAAAATGTAGTTTCTTTTGCTTACTAGGGAAACTAATTACTAAAACTGACATGTATAATGTGAATATAAAGCAAACTTTCCTACTAAAAGGCAGGCTTAAAGCTCAACAAAGAGTTGTCATTTATGTAGAGATCACACACACAAAAAAAATTTGAAAACTGTGAGGCAAAGCAATCTGTAAATAATGAGTAAGATCAGCATATAAAGCAATTAATATCTAAGTGAAAAGAATGTGGTGTTGATTTTATTGCAAAAGAAGTGGTAACAATAATCTGAGTATATAAAGAATATATTAAAGAGTATCAATGAGACGAAATTAGAATAATAATTGCTGCCAGAGTCCAAACTGCTATTTGTCTGATGACCAAAAGTCTCACAGAAAATGAGAGAGAATTCCAGATGCTATTTACATGAATAAATTAAAGAAGCAAAATAAAAAGAGTGGCAATGATTAGGAAAACATGGATTAAGTGAAAAATAGCCTAAACATGAATGGATGAAAATTAGAAATTAGGACATCTCAGCAAAAGAAGAATGTACCAGAGTCATGTTTATTACTAGGAACATAATGATGACAACTTCTGAGCACAAAGATCCAAGGTCTCCCTTGGTAAGAATGAAAATCTGAAATCAGTTCTGCCATTACTAGGCCAAAAAAAGACAAATAACTAATAACCAGAAAGCCACTAAAACTTAATCATACTCATGCATTAATAAAGCATTAAAACATACAAACATACACACCACACCGGGTGCTAATTAAGCTATTTGTGCAATTTGCTATATCCATGTATTAAGTATGTTATAAACTTTTATTTTTCACTGGATTCAGCACTTTTTAGGTTAATGTTTTGGCGCTGGGTCCCTGATTAGAATTTAACATGAAAGATAGTTGTAAAATGGGATAGCCCAGAGTTGACAGCACAAACAATGGCATAAAATTATGATAGAAATGTCAAGGAAAATTAATTTAAGTAACCATGTGATTCAAAAACAAATCAGTAACATGAAGAAATGAAAAACAAAAAATCTAATAGTATTACCTAAAGTAATAAATGGCTGCCAAAATAGTTACTTTCCTTCCTATTTGTCGTTGTAAACTACTATATTCTTAGTATTGCAATAATGGTACCATATAAGGAAACAACCTGTCATGCAGCTGTAATTGCTTATAAATTGTAATTCCATTATTTTTCACTATCCAGAACCTGCTAAATAAGGCTACAACTGAAATCTGAAGGGTACACTGAAGTTTTGATATTTTCTCTCTTCCCTGATCTCTACCTTCTGGTGCTCAGTTCCTTAAATAAGGAAAATGAAAGTCCAAAGCTGAAATACTTCTGACCTCCTATCAAGTTTCCCACTCCAGGTTGAGGTACGCCTGGTTCCCTTTCTCCATTTGGATCAGGACTCTGTTGCTGGCCACTTTGCTGGGTCCATTCTGGTTCCTAGCAAATGCCAGGCTCACCTGGAGAGCAAGTGAAAAGAAAGGCTCACATCAGAAAAATAAACCCAGATATAAAACTCTGTGGAGAACAGTGCCTGAGTCATCTGAGCAACCTTTCAAGAAAGGAAGAAGGACCAATGAAGATGGGGAAAAAAGTAGGAGGATGAAGCTTACTGCAGTTTATTCACATTCAACTTTTAGAAAGGATGAGAGACAGTAAATGGGGAAACTAAACTGTGTTGTTTTTTTTTCCTTCAAATTTATGACCCTAAGGCGAGTATGTGTCTAATGAGGGGAGCTAGGAGGCAATTTACTTATTTCTAAAAATTCTTATAAGCTTCTATAAAGTTTGAGAATATAACCTCTTAGCATTGCAAAGGACAATACACAGATGCTGGGCCTGGACTCAGGATACCCTTAGCCAAATGGTATTGTCTGCTTTCTAAATCCTAGATTCCACCCATGTTTATCATGTTTGATGGCAAGAGAGTATCCAGATAGCACTGCCCAAAGCAGGAGTTTTTATCTCCCTAGTTTGAGTCACCTTACTGATTTCCAGATAAGGAAAGCCAGAAAGGAAGTGAAGAGACCCTTTACTAGGATTCAGTCCTTTATCTATGGAATGAACAAATTAAGTTTGTCCACAGGATTTATTAGTGAGTTTAGCTATTATGACCACGTTATTATTCTCTTACCGGAAGTGAAATGGCAAAAGCCCCATTCCCAAGACATACTATCCAACTTTCTAACAAGCAGGTAGGAGTATCCAAGAAGACAGAGGAAGGAGTGCCCTCCAAGTTTACCAGAGCACATCTAATTATTAAGCTCAAAGCCTCCGGTCCTAAGATTTCCCTCAATATATTTGTTCCTCCTGTTTTTGGGGGTAGAGGGGTCAAGGTTACCCATTAGTCACACTGGAGAAAGAACACCATGTTGTGCTTAAATGTACACCGAAGAAAAGCTGGGGATGACTTTCAGATAAAAGATAAGTTATTTCTCAGAGTGTTTGGACATCTAAAGTTAAAATCATGAGATGGTTTTATAGTAATTTCTCAATCTTTCAGCCTAATTATTAGTTTACAAAGGGGTGGAATCTGAGAATTTAGATAGAAGCAAATTAGAGATATCTGAAGGCATTCATCTATAGATATTTTAAGGATAAAAATTCTAGGATAACAGAATAAAAATGATGTAAAATTTACACAGGCTAGCCAGGAGAGGGCACTGTCTGAGAGAATACTGGAGAATGTAGAAATGAGGAAGTACCCATTTCTCTGACTTTTCATTTTAGGCCTAGGTTATGCCATTTATCTTTAGTGCATTAAGAAACTGCAATCCCCTATTAATAATTGCGAGATGGAGGAGTAAATTCAGCACTCGGAACTACTCTCGTTGTCAGAGACAGGATAAACATATTTTCACATGAACAAAATAATTTTCCCTACCTCCCTCTTTCTACAAAGCTTTTCAAATGATAAACTGCAGTAAGGCTCTTCACTGGGCTCCTCTGGTGCTCTCTGCAGATAGCTTAGGGGCTCAGGCTCTGTTCTCGGCAGTGTTGGTTGTCTGGATTTCTTTTTTTTCTGAGAAGTCTTTCTTTTCTTGCTTTCTAGTTGAACCTGATAACTTCTCAGGTGATGGTGATCCTGGCCTTAGATGGGGACCAGAATTATAATCCAGGAGGCAGCTAGCAAAACAGAATCTTAATTCAAATGAATTTGGGGATTAATAAATGTCAAACTGGAGAAGAAAAACTGAAGGGGCACTGAAGTACTCTACCTTTTCTGGATTTCTTGTTTTTCCTCTGGAAGATACGCATCACCGCAACAAAGAGAGTAAAAGAGGGAGAAAAATGGAGTGGGAGGAAAGGAAAGAAAATATCAAGACAAAGCATCAAGTCTATAAGGCTCTGGACAGCAAGGAACCTGAGGACAGAGTTGTCATTTACAAAAATGTCCCAATCCCTATAGCCTTATGATAAGGCAAAAGCAAACAAGGGGGCAAAGTTATCTTTATGATTAACTTGTTGTTGACAAACATTTACTTGGAAAAATAACCCCATTTTTGTAATCTACTTGGTACCTAACCAATTATTATAGTTGTCAGAACCCTTCATATTAGATCCTACAAATACTTGATAATTTAGGTGTCACAGGTATTTGTTAAAGAATAGAGAAATTAATTCAGCTGTTACTCCAAGGAAGTCTAGCTACTGAAAAATGACCAACTTACTAAAAGTCCAACTTTATTCAGGAGCAAAATTGTGTTGTTGTTTTTTTTAAATTATATTGGGGTGACATTAGTCAACATCATATAGGTTTCTGGTATATGTTATAAGATATGCATATTGCAACATGTGCTCAACATCCAAAGTCAAATCTCCTGTCACCATACATTAGGACCCCTTTTTCTTCCCTCTGGCAACCTTCTGGCAACCAATGTACTGTTGTGTTCATGAGTTTCAGTTTTATATCCCACATATGAGTGAAATCATGTGGTTCTTAGCTTTTTCTGACCAATTTATTTCACTCAAGATCGTGTTCTCAAGGTCTATTCATTTTATTGCAAATGGCACTATTTCATCCTTTCTTATGGCTGAGTAATATTCCATTGTGTATATGTACCGCATCATCTTTATCTAGTCCTCTATTGCAGGATACTTGGGTTGTTTCCATATCTTGTCCACTGTGAATAATGCTGCAATGAGCATAGACGTGCATATATCTTTGAAAATACATGATTTCAACTTTTCTGGGTATATACCCAGGAAATTGCTGGGTCCTATAGTAGCTCTTTTCTCTCTCTTTTTTTTTTTTAGGAATCGCCAGCCTGCTTCCCATAGTGTTTGTACCAGTCTACATTCCCACCAGCAGTGGATGAGGGTTCTTCTTTCCCTCATGACTTTTCCAACGTTCGTCATTGCTTATCTTGTTGATATTGGTCACACTAAAAGATGAGAGGTGGTATTTCACTGTATTTCCCCAATTGCCAGGGAGATAGAAAACTTTTCTTACATCTATTGCCTGTTTGTATGTCTTTTTGGGAGAGGTGTATTTTCAGGTCCTCTGCCCACTTGTTGATTGTTTGGTATTGAGTTTTATGAGTTCTTTATATATTTTGGAAATTAAACCTTCGTTGGAGCCACTGTGTGCAAATATCTCCCATCTGGTTGGCTGCCTCTTTGTTTTGTTATTGGTTATTCTGCTGTGCAGAAGCTTTTGATATATAGTCCCATTCATTTATTTTTGCCTTCACTTCCCTTACCTTTGGGGTCAAGTTCATAAAATGTTCTCTCTAAGGCCCATAAAGTTGGTACCTATATTTTCTCCTATGGAGCTTATTATTTCAGGTCTTATATTTAAGTCTTTGGTTCATTTTGAATTAATTTTTGTACACAGGGACAAACTGTAATCCAGTTTCAGTCATTTAAATGTGGCTTTCTAGTTTTCCTAGCACCATTTGTTGAAGAGACTATGTTTGTTCCACTCTGTGTTTCTGGCTCCTTTGTTGAAAATTATCTGTCCATTTACATGTAATTTTATAGCTGAACTCTCTATTTTGTTTCATTGATTGGTGTATCTGTTCTCTGCGAATACCATGCTATTTTGATTACCATAGCTTTGTAGTATAATATGAAGTCAGTTAGCATTATACCTCCAGCTTTATTCTTTTTTCTCAGGATTGCCTTGTCTATTTGCGGTCTTTTATGGTTCCATAAAAATCTAATAGTTTCTCGTTCTATCTTTTCAAAGAATGACATTGAGATTTTGATGGGTATTGCATTAAATCTGTATATTATTGCTTTGGGTAATATGGCCATTTTAACTATGTTGATTCTTCCTAATCCATGAACACAGGTTTTTCATTTTGTTGTCTTTTCCAATCTCTTTTACTAATGCTTTGTAATTTTCCATATTTAGGTCTTTTACATTCTTTGTTAAGCTTATTCCTAGGTATTTTATTATTTTGGTTGCAATTGCAAAAGGATTTATTTTTTGCATTTCTTTTTCTGAAGTTCTGTTGTTAGTATATAGGAAGGCAATGGATTTTTGCACTGACTTAGTATCCTGCAATTATTATATTTGTTTATTGTTTTTAATAGATTTTTGGTGGTCTTTAGGGTGTTCTATATACAGAATCATGTCATCCACAAAAAGTGAGGTTTACTTCTTCCTTCCCTATTTTGATGCTTTTTATTTCTTTCTCTTGCCTTATTGCTCTGGCTAGGACTTCCAGCACTATGTTGCGTAGGAATCATGAAAAGTGGACATCCTTGTTTTGTTCCTCATCTTAAGAAAAGCTTTCAGCCCTAGCCAGTTTGGCTTAGTGGATAGAGTGTCAACTTGCAAACTGAAAAGTCCCAGGTTCAATTCCGGTCAAGGGCACAGGCCCAGGTTGTGGGCTTGATCCTCAATGGGAGACTTGCAGGAGGTGGCCAATCCATGATTCTCTCTCATCATGGGTGTTTCTATCTCTCTCTCCTTCTTTCTTCCTCTCTGAAATCAGTAAAAATTATTAAAAAAAAAAAAAAAAAAGCTTTCAGTTTTTCACTTCTAAGTATGATATATGTTGAGGGTTTATCATATCTGGCCTTTATTATGTTGAGGTACTCTCCTTCTATCCCTATTTTATTGAGTAAACTGATATTAGTGGAATAACCCTGCTGAGCAGCAGTTAAAAACCCTGCTGGAGTGACAGTAGTCTGTGAACTGGAGGACTATGCTGCCATGTCCACAGGAGATGCAGAGCTCCAACAGTAAAGACACCTCATTGGAGACCAGATGCCAGTTGGCCTTGAAGGCTTTCACTCACATGGCACAATATGATGAAGAAATTTCAGATTACTTCAGAAAACAGCAAAGGAATAGCTCAGATGCCCTTGCGTTTCGGAATGAACTCTCATCAACCTCCAGCCCAACCTTGCCATCACAATTTTAAATGGAGCTCCTGGATTTACAAACTTGTGTGATGCTTTGAATGCCTAGCAGCTGGTGAAGGAACTCAAAGAAGCCTTAGGCCTTCCAGCTGCTGCCTCTTTCAAGCATATCAACCCAGCAGATGATGCTGTTGGAGTTCTCCTTAATGAAGATAAGGCCAAAGTGTGCATGCCCATGTATATAACCCTCACACCCTAGCGACTTCACATGCATAGCCAGAACAGCTGATAAGATGTCTTCATTTAGTATCTTTGTTGCCTTATCTGAATCCCTATATGTGATATCCCTACTGCCAAAATCTCCAGAGAGGTATCTGATGGTATTACTGCCCCAAGGATATGAAGAAGTAGCTTTGAAAATACTTTCTAAAAAGAAAAATGGGAACTATTGTGTTCTTCAGTTGGGACCAAAATCTTACAATCCAGAAGTTCGGACTCTCTTTGGTCTAAGTCAAAAGAGAAATAATGGTGTCATCTATAGGTCATTATTTAGCAATGTTGTTACCAAGAAAAAAGATTTGCTGAAATTTGTGCTCTAAGACCTCATCATGGCCACCATTGCTGGGAAGTACAATCAATTCAACTCCGTGCTATGCCAAGAACAGGCAGGAGATTGGCATTGGAGCAGGACAGCAATCTGGATCCAGTGCACACGCCTGGCAGGAGCTAAGGTGAACTTCTGGTGGCTTCGGCATCGCCCACAAGTGCTCTCAATGAAGTTCAAAACTGGAGTGAAGAGTGCAGAAATCTCCAACACCATTGATCTGTATGTTAATGGGACCATGGGCAAGGATGAAGATTTGGTAAAGTGGAAGGTGCTGTTTGAAGAAGTCCCTGAATTACTGACCACAGCCAAGATGGAATGGGTGGACAAGCTTAGTGAAGTGTCCGTTAGCTAGGATGCCTTTTTTCTTTTCAGGGATAATGTGGACAGACCTAAAAGGAGTGGTGTGGCATATATTGCTCCTCTATCCGGTTCTGCTGCTGACAAAGTTGTGATTGAGGTCCTCAATGAACTGGGAATAGTCCTCACTCCCATGAGTCTTCAGCTCTTTCATCACTAAACCCATCACATGTGCTTTAAGCTTGCTTATGTTGGTGTGGGCAACTTTGAAAATACTTTGGAAAAAATAAGATAATGAATCTGAATAATAATCTTTGGGGGAAAGGGGGAAGTGATGTTATACCCTACCCAGTTTTTCTCAGTGGATAGTGCCTTCAGCACCTTATTATCTGTGTTCATGGATTATGCATTCGAGGTCTTTGGTTGACTACCTCCCACCCACCCCGCCTTCCCTCTGAGGTTTGCACTGTTCCATGCTACCATGTCTCTGGATTCATTCTGTTCTTCAGTTTGTTACTTAGATTCCACCTGTAAGTACAATCATGTGATACCTGTCCTTCTCTGACTGGCTTATTTCACTTAGCATGATACTCTCCAGGTCCCTTTATACTGTCTCAAAGGGTAAGAGATTCTTTTTTACTTCTGCATAGTATTCCATGGTATAAATGTATCACAGCTTTTTTATCTACTCATCTACTGATGGGCATTTGGGCTGTCTCCAGATCTTAGCTATTGTAAATTGTGCTGCTATGAACACAAGGGTGCACACATTCTTTCTGATTGGTGCTTTGGGTTTCTTAGGATATATTCCTAGAAGTAGGATCACTAGTTCAAATGGCAAATGCATATTTAATTTTTTGAGGAAACTCCATACTATTTTCCATAATGGTTGCACCAGTATGCATTCCCACCAGCAGTGTACTAGGGTTCCCTTTTCTCCACGTCCTCGCCAGCACTTGTCATTTGTTGATTTGTTAATGGTAGCCGTTTCTGACAGGTGTAAGATAATACCTTATTATCGTTT